GAAAATTTGATATTTTGTTTTAATGAATTGATGCATCATGCACTGTCATTGTATTATGAATAAAGAGGGCTGAGACCTTAAGTGTTCTCGTTTTTCCATAAAATAGAGTTTTAATAGGGGTTAGTCCACTTATTATTGGAATATAAAATTTAAATAAATTACTTATTGGAAATTAGAAATGATGTCCATATACCATGAAAATAAGTTTAGCATACACATATATAAAAAATTTGGAGTGTGGTTAGGTATTTTTAAACAACACTAAAAAGGCTAAATAGTATAGTTAATATTTATCAAAAATTCAACGCACATATTTTAAGATGAATGAGAAACTATGGAATTTTTTTTTAACGCATAGATGCATTATGCACTGGCATAATATGATGATCAAAGATGTTTGACACCTTATGTGTTCCCATTTCTCTAGAAATTTGAGATTTTATAGGGGTTAGCACACTAATTAGATCGTATATGAAGTTTAAAAAAATTATTCATTGAAAAAAATAGAAATGATGCTCATGAACCATGAAAATATGTTTAGCATATATTAATATGCATTAGTGTGTGGTTAGTTATTTTAAAAAAAAAATATTAATGAGGCTAGACTTTAGTAGTAGCATTTATTGGAAAAAAAAACTTGATATTTTCGTAAGATAAATTAGAAAATATTGTATTTTGTTTTAATGCATAACTTCATCATGCAATTACATGTAATGAAATTTAAAGATGTCTGAGACCTTATTTTTCTATGTTTTTCCAGAAATTATAGATTTTATAGGGGTTAGTCCAATGAATTAGGTGTAATAAGAATTTTTATTAAATTACTCATTAAAATATTAGAAAGGATAGCCATGTACCATGAAAATAAGTTTAACATACATTAATATAAATGTATAATGTGATTAGGTATTTTTTAGTCAACATTAAAGAGCTTAAACTTCAGTAAATATTATTTATCAGAAAACTAAATCTTTTTGTAGAGGTTAACCCACAGATTTCAAAATAAATTATAAACTACAATATTTTTCTTCAAATACATAGATACATCCAACACATATATAGGATGAAGATCAAAGATGTCTGACAACTTTGTTGTCCCAATTTTTCTAAAATAAAGAGATTCCATAGGGTTTAGTCATTTGATTGATGTGGTATAAGTTGTTTTATTAAATTACTTATTACAAATTTATAATTGATGTCAAAGTACCATGAAAATAAATTTAGGATACATTAGTATAAATTTTTAACGTGGTTAGATATTTTAAACAACATTAAAGAGACTAAAATTAAGTACAAATAGCATTATCGGAAAGACTTGATTTTTCATAGAGTTAACCCTCAAATATTAAGATAAATTATAAAAACATGGAATTTTTGTATTTATGGATAGCTGCATCCAACACTGATATATGATGGATATCAAAGAGTTTTGATCTTTGAATTGTCCAGTTTTCTCTAGAAAATAGAGACTACATAACTGCATCCACCACTGATATAGAAAAAATATATATAATTTTATAAAGATACAAATAATAAGGAAAAATACATGTGTAATTTACCAAAACGAATATGTTAGTAGAGAAAATCTCTTAACGTTTTCATGTAATCATGTTTTGACTATACATATATTTTTACATAGTTTCAAATAAATTATAAATATCATACTCATCATTATAATTTACTTTTATTAGTTGTAAATGATTAGATTTAAATGTGTTTGCTTCTTTTAATTAATTTTAAATATATTAAATTTTATTTATAATTATAAAATAACTTACAAGACAATAAGAAGATATATATATATAATTAATATTAGCATTTAAATTGAATTACAATCCAAATTTGTAAAATCAATATAAAATTTTATACATGTTACAAAGATTTTGTTGAAAAACAAATAAACAGTATTTTTACAAAAGTAGAAATTATAAAATATGATATTTTTATTTTTATAAATGAATCTCCGTACGATATTGCGTGTGTTATCTAAAATAACGAATGGAAAGAAATATAGTGTCAATGACATTTTTAAGAATGCTAGACTGCCACAAAATTATCCATTTGATATAATAGAATTGGAGATGTTTATTGTTGCGTACCTTTGTTGTCGACAAACCTTGATTTGCGAGCTTTGATGCCATTCATTAATAAAGGAATCAAGATTTGAACACATAGTGCACTCAAGGGCCATCTGCAACTTGAAATATGTGAAATAATTAGTTAAGAATAAGAGCAAACTGTATGTATCCAAAGTAAAAGCAATCATAAACCTCTTTTTTTTTGCTTCAGTCAGTGATTTCAATCGTAAAATGAGAATATGAAGTGATGGAAAAGCAGAAAGAAAGACAAAGTAGAGCGAGAACATTACTAGAGAGTAAAATTAATAGATGAAAGTTATATAACATATAAAACAGTTTAAATGTGATTAACTTTGACCGTAGAGTGATTTTTTTGTTTGAAACACTAACGTGTGATAATGTGAGAAAAATAGGGATTTAGACTTTAATTAGTTATTTCGAATTCTAGAAATTTTAGGATCAGAACTAATTTCTTCTGCCGGCATTTAAACGAAATGTAAAGCACTATTAGATTTTAATTGGCTACATTTTTTTTTTTTTTTCGTAAAGTTTTGCCATATGTCTAAGTTTGATCCGTAAAACAATTTACGTTTTAGTGTATATAAAGGATGATGTGTATATATATATGTATGTATTAGGCCTCTTAATATTCGAATTGATGTCAGCAACATATATATATATATATATATGAATGACACGTACTAAGATTTACTTACAAGGATCAAGAAATGTTTTAGTAGATGGAAAAGGTTAGGGTTTTGGGGTCCCATGGGCTTGATGGTCTCAGACAAAATAGTTGGCGTGTCTTAATGTGCTTAAAACTAGATTTAACCAACAATGAACAACCATATCGACACAACTAATTTATTTTTTCTATTTTTGATCAAATAACTAAATTTATATTAAATTACCAAAATACTATTTACAGTATGTGATGTTTAAGAAACAAACAAAAACGATATATATATATATATATATATATTTGAAAAAGGGCTAAAAACTATATATTTACAAAAAAAAAAATTATGAAAACCTTTTAAACTGATATATATATATATATATATATATATATATACATTTATTTTTTCTTCATACAATCTCAGTTTACACTTCCATTGAAAATAGTACATATGTTAACCATATTTTGAATGAAGTTTAATTAGACATGGTTCTCAAAAAAAGGTTTAATTAGACAGGGTAATGCAGTCCAAATGATCAAATAATTTGATTTGATGTGTATATGGTTGAGATGTGTCATTAGTTGACCAGTACCAGTAATCCATATACTATTATAGAGACACGGTCTGTCCAACTCTCTTGTGCAATATGTTTTTTAAGAGTTATGTTTTGAACTGGCTTTATTTTTAATAGTTGTGTCATAACATTATAAATATATTTTGAAAATTGAGATAATTTTTCTATTAGTCAACATAAGTTGTTCGAAGGCAAAAATAAGAAATTATTTAGGACATGTTTTCTCGTGGGAACCTTTACTGGATCGAGATATTGGTTCTTGAGTTCCACGGAAATTAAGGTGGTATAAATTATATGATGTTGGTAAAAAATTAATATACATGATAACTGATAAGAGTGGAGATTAATCATGAACATGAGAAAAATTATAACGATAATCAAAACGTATATAAAACTCTGTCACCGAAAACTCCTTCCGATTGACAGAACAAACGTTGGCTGTAAGCCTGTAACTGGTATTTAGAACATTTCCAATATAAAATTCTATTATAACTCTATTATTTTCTTCAGATATATAGTAAAATTTTAGTAAATTAAAAATGTAGAAATGAATAAATGAAAATAGGTGGAAAAATAAAAATGAAATCCAGAGTAGATATGTTTTCTCATTTATCTGGAGAGATGATTGCCCTAATTTTCTAAGGTAAGCCAGTTGAATGACATAATCTTGATTTGACAAAAATAGAGTAATTCAGCAGAATATTTTGTTACTCTATCTTATTAACCTCAAATGTGTCATCTATTCACACTCACTGTACAATATTTCTGAAAAAAAATTATACATATAAAATCTATTAAAAATCTGTAATTTTCTTAATAAATCTGTTGTAATTTAAAAGAATATATATTATAGTTCTTCTTTGGATATTTAGCTCTTATTATAAGTAACTAACTTTTTAGCCCTTTCTCAAAAAATAAATAAAATTTTATCCTATTCTTTTGTAAAGTTTGAGTAGTATAAATTGTCAACATGATTAGTTGCAGCAACTTTTATTCCAGACGTTGCTTCACAAACTTGAACATCTCCTCGTTTTTTTCTCCATCATTCACCAGGGACATTTTCGTCATATAAGTATTTGATAGGATTAACGTCACAAAAGCTAACTAAGATCTCCTTGTTCCGACAAGATACTAGACAAAGACCAAGCCTCTTTCTTCCATGTTTCTATATAAAGCAAGAGCAAAGCACTTACCCTCGTTAACTAAGATAAGATCTTACCTTCACAATTCTTCTCCATCTCCTTTATTTTCTCTCTTCCTCGCAGGTATATCACATACACATACATTCTAATCTTGCCTCGTACGTTGGTCTTTCGCTATTACGTTCAAAGTCCGCCTCTGTCCGAGTCTCTTCTGCTTACTGTTTTGTTAACTCTGCTCCTTTTACCTTATGTTAGTTTAAACTATGTTGTCTCTGCTACTAGTATATTTGTAAAATCTGTCAAAATTTTAAAATCTTGGTATAAAATTTAATATTTTATCAAAAAAAATCCTATATAATCATTAATCAGATTTTCTTATCAAAGGTGCATTTACTAATTTGTTTAATATCAAGGATATTTTTTTGTAACTAATATTATTTTTGTTTAAAGGACATATTGTTCATTCACAACACTTAAGTCAAAATGTTTTTTTTTTAAATTACAGGTTCATATAATAGATGCTAATACAAAATGGGAAGATCACCGTGTTGCGATGAGAGTGGGTTAAAGAAAGGGCCATGGACGCCTGAAGAAGATCAGAAACTGATAAATCATATACGGAAACACGGTCATGGAAGCTGGAGAGCTCTTCCAAAGCAAGCCGGTTTAAATCGGTGTGGAAAGAGTTGCAGATTGAGATGGACTAATTACTTGAGGCCAGACATCAAACGAGGAAACTTCACTGCCGAGGAAGAACAAACCATCATCAACCTTCATTCTCTTCTTGGAAACAAGTAATTACTTTATTTATTTTTTTGTCAGATTGATTAACTTAATTGCTTTAATTATCATATTTGAGATCAAAAGCGAAAAAAAGAAAATTACGACGATGTTTTTATAAATTATGCATTATTATGTTATGTTTTTGTTTGAGAAAAATGTGTGGTTAATGTTTATACGTTCTTGTTGTTTTTACACTTTAGATGCAAAATAAACTACAATATTGTTGTGTGTGATATGTCTTTTTTTGTAACATGTATTTCGTTACATATAAGTATACTAATCAATTTTTTTTAATAATTAGTTAAATTTAATAGCTCAATGATTCTAAAATATTATTTACTTGTCATCAGTCTATACTATAAAAGCGTTATATGTATATCTATATATATGCTAGTATATATAGTCTTGGTTAGTTGATGAATAAAATCATACATATGTAAACCTACCACACTGGATTTTAGTAGGTGCATGCATATGTACTCGTCAATGATCAAGATTTTCTAAGATTGTTATTAATTACTTGTTTTTGTGGATCGAATAGTTAATTACTTGTTATAGCTTGAAAATTTGATATAATACGTAGAAGGCTTAACTAATCCACCACATACTTATATCAATTTAACTAATTTATTTTTTCATATGTTTTAAAGGTGGTCGTCTATAGCTGGTCATCTTCCGGGAAGAACGGACAACGAAATAAAAAACTACTGGAACACGCATATCAGAAAGAAACTTATTCAGATGGGCATCGATCCGGTGACCCACAGGCCGAGAACCGATCATCTAAACGTCCTAGCCGCTTTACCGCAGCTTCTTGCAGCCGCAAATTTCAATAATCTCTTGACTCTAAATCAAAATATACAACTTGATGCAACAAGTATTGCTAAAGCCCAATGGTTACATAGTATGATTCAACTCCTCAACAACAACAACATGACCTCTTCTTCTTCCGTTGACATTAATATCTTTGGCCAGTCTTCTTTCTTAGAGAACCGACCAAATATTAGTGAAAATCCGTATGATGTAACCCAAAGCCTCTCTCACGTTGATCACCAGCCTATGGATTCGTTTTCTAGCCCCATTGGAGTATTTTCTCATCAAGATATCATTCCTCCATTGATCTCGGCCTCTCCTGATGAGTCTAAGCAAACCCAAATGATGATCAAGAACAAGGAGATTCTGAAGCTTAATGAGCAGACTTCAAACCCTTCATCGACCTTAACGTTCACGCAAGACCATCAGGCATGGTGTGACATAATTGATGATGAAGCAAGTGATTCTTACTGGAAAGAAATCATAGAGTAAGTTGGAGAACCTAAACATTTTCTTTCTGAATGTCGACGAGTTCTTACATTACTTTGTTTTTTTTTCTTTTTGCAGGCAAACTTGTTCGGAGCCTTGGCCATTTCGTGAATAGAGACGAAAGAAACACAATATTAATTAGCATTATTTTATGTGAATATACATATATTGTTAATTAACATTCATACAGTTTGTGTCTTAAATTTTATTTCTTATTTTTCGACCATGTATACCAAAAACTGATACGTACGAACTGTTATCATCATTTGTATTGTTTTCTATAGTTTTTAATGTATTTTTAGTAATAGTTTTCCACGTGTAAGAACTTGCAACTCTAAATTCTGTAAGATAAGGTTAATTCATTATTGAAATGGCTATTAAGCTAACTTTACTTTGGTTATATTAGTTGTTTTCTTGTCTCTTAACTATTCAAATTTTAGATGGGTATGGTTAAGAAGAAATGCACAAATACAGTCTCAAAAGTGACAGTCCTATTTTTATTTTCAAAACAAAAAAAAGTGACAGTCTTATTTTCAAAGTGGCAGTCTTATTTTTATTTGACTTTAAGAGGAGACACCATGATGTATATTTCTAATCAATAGATGGTAGCATTTAAACATCATTGGCCATCTTAACCACTTGACCAAAATCGATAGTATATTTGTAAGACCAAATGTCTAATTTACGTTAAAACTTCATAGTCAAAGCATTAAAATGCCATTAGAGTAACATAGTTCAAATTGAACACTCAAAAATTAAGTTTTGAGTGTTAAAGATTGTGACAGGAAACGCAAGTAAATAACAGACGCAACTAATACTCCTCAAATATTCTCCAGAAGATAGAAAGCCTACGTTAGGACAACAAACAAAAGCCTATTTAGCTAGTCGGTCTCACTATTAATTTTTATTAATGATTTAAATTTAACACTAAGCATTGCTTGTGGATAACGATTTTGCAGGAAACATGAAATATTCAATCACTTTTAAGAAAAATTCTCGACAACAAAAATAGAAACCCCCACCAAACGAAAGTAGACTACATTTGACAAAGCAGACACTTGAAGGTTATCCAACTTTGGGATCTTTAATCCACAGACATGGGCTCGGGTATGTTCCTCTGATCTTCCACGGCTGTCCGAATCTCATCCATTAAACTCTTCTGCTCATCTTCCATTGTATTCTGCAACTCATCCACCTAAACCCAAACCAAAATATTCACAATCACAAACCCATCAAACCACAAACAAAAAAAAAAATCTAAGTTTCAGACATTACCACATGCAACAAGAGAGCAAACTGCTTCTTCCTCAACTCAAGCAACCTCCAGCTTGCAGTACTCTCAGCTTCAAGCTCAGCAATCTCTCTCTTCAGCTCACATATAACCTTCTCCGTCTCCGACCTCGGCGGCTGCGCGGAGATAAGCTTCCTAATAGTCTCACACTCTTCTTTATGCTGCCTCTCAATCTTACTCTCCTCAAGCTGCTTCTTCAAATCCTCAATCTCCGCCTTCGCCTGCGTAATCTGCCTCTCCGTCTCATCCTTCACCTCGTTGAAGCTCTCTTTCTCCCTGATGTTAGCTTCCACAACCGCCTGGCTCTTCAAAAGCGGGATCTCGAACGTAGTCAGCTCCTGTAAGAAGGCTTTCGCGAGGCGATTGCATTCGTTGTAGTTGTCTTCTTCTTTGTCTACTTCGAGGACGAAGGAAGTGAACTTCTTTTGAAGCTTTTTGAGAGGAGGTTCGCCTCGTGTGGTGGTGGTTCGGGTGAGGAGACGGTTTCTTATGATTTTGTCATCGTCTACGGGATCGAATGCGTAGGTTGGTTTAGCTACTACAGTCTCTAATCTACCGGAGATTCTTCTCGCTTTCACTGACATATCTAAATTCAACCCTAACACAGATCATTCAGCAAAAAAAATCAAAATCGAATTCGCCGAATTGCATTTTCTAAACCTAAAGAATCCAAATTCGAGATTTAATCAGAGAGGTGAAGCTAATGGGCACTCTATTAAGATCTACGAAATCGAATCGAAGAAGGTAATCTATTTACTTACTTGAAGAGAGCAAATCAAAACAGATGCTGATGAACCCTAAATCGAAGGTAATCGTCTCCCAAAAAGTGTGTTTGAGCAATTGGCTCTCTCTTTCTGGGGGGGGGGGGGTAAATGTAATAACAAAAAATACTCTCAACTTATATTTTTATTGTAAAATAAAACCCTTGCATTGTATTTTTGACACTATAACGCCAAGATTCAGGCCTGGCCCAAGTGTGTAGAGCAGAGGTGTGCCCATGTCTTTTGACCCTTTTAACAGTAAGAGATTTTCATTTACAAAATTGTTTTTATTTTGCTTTAGTGGCGTGGAATATTAATTAGCTCTTGACAAAAAAAGGAAATATTATTTTAGCTCATTTTAAAACTTTTGGGCACCGCCTGGCCTGATCATTACAATGCACATTTGTAATCGAACTTTGCTTAAATACAAATGCCTAAATTATTTGGCTGAGATGAAAACGTATATCAAACAATATTTAAGTAGTAATTTACATTTAAGTATTTGTTGAGATGTCCCATTTATTACCTTCCAATTGAAAATGTGTTTAGTCAGTTGTGGAGTACGTTCATAAAGTGTCATTCAAAAGTTGATGATGAACCAAAAATCTTCTGAGATATAAAATGATGGAACATATGACATAACTTTAAAGACTCCCAGTTTACGAGTCAAAAATCACATGATCGAACAAGAATGCACATTCTCGTCGCTAAAGATCTGAGAGGGGTAGTTATGCTGGGCTGAATATTGAGGAGGGTAACTAAAGATTGTGTTTCCATCACTGTCTTCGTTCTTCTTGTTTCCCTTGTTATTGTTATTGTTGTCTTTGTCGTTATTACCTTTGCCTTTCTCTGTGTTTTGACTTACAAGCTCTGCATGTCTCTTAAGTTTTTTCCTGATTTCCTCCACGAGTTTTGGAGGATCCATTACTCCTCGTACCACCACCATTGACTTTGCCTGGTCTGGTTCCGCTGTTTGAATACCTTTTAATTTGTCAAATAGCAAACACACTTATAAGTTGGTTTTCAACTACATATTGAATCGGAATATATCAATTCATACATATTGGTTGATTTGAATTAGTCTAACCGGTTGAAAATCCCAATTTTACTAAGAACAATTATGCTTTTAACTTCCTTTTTAAAATGCTTTGAACACTCCACCATGACATATTGTATAAACAAATCGTTTGAATTAAACACACTGCTATACAGTTTACTAGAAGCACTACATCTTAACTTATATTTATATTTTATATATGACACATATATTGGTTACCTTTTATTTTCTCAATGCCTCTTTTGATTTCATTAACGCATCCTTCACAGTGAATGTTCATTTTTAAAGTTGCAGTTTTGATCTGCGGAGCACTCTGAAATCAAACACAAAAGCAAATGATTAATGATGGTTGTTGGAATTTAGCTAATTATTTTATATGATATATCTAAGTTCAATGTGTATAAATGAAATCAGTTTTTAACTTATAAAAAGGATATAAAAAGCTACTTCTTTCTTTTGTTGTTGCTCCTTCTTCTGATCTTGATTCGGGTTAGGCTTTGGGGAAATTAACTCAGCATTTTTACTGAATTTCTTTTGCACCCTTCGTAATATCTTCACTGGATCATCAAATTTCCCTGAGACAACCACTTTATTGTCTCCAACCTCCGTCTTAATTTGCTCAACCCCTTGAAAAACAATAAGATCATGCACCAGTTAGAAATCACTTTACAATCTTATTTTAATGATATTAAAAATAGATTTAGCAAAGACTATTTGGTTATGCCATTATAGGAGGCAAAGAGATACAGCTAGTATCTCAATATTTCATTTACTACATACATAAAACCTGAAGTTAGAAAAGAAAAACATAGAATTAAAATATATTTTGGTAGAAAAGCAAACAGTAAATCAAAGGTAGAAATAAAAAAAATTAACTTTCATAAGTAATATGGATGGTTTAAGATATATTTTGACATTACCATCATATCCTCTCAAAGAGTGGGAAACTTGTGAAGCGCAACCTTCACAGTGCATGTACACCTTCAGAATAATTTCTTTACATTGATTCTTCTTATCAGACTTATCAGACTTGTCAGATTCTCCATTTTTCTGATTCTTCGTATCAGACTTGTTGGGATCTCCATTTTTCTGATTCTTGGACTTGTTGTCTGCTTCTCCGTTTTGCTTGTTCTATAGAGCCAATGAAATATATGTAAGTTTGCTTAATAGATAAATGCATGAATCACCAATAAAACACATACCTTGCCCATATCTATCAATGTTTACTCCTTTGTATAACAAGTGCAATGAAGAAGTTGAACAGCGTGAGGCTATATATATATATAAGAGAGAAGTTTAACGATTACTCAGATTGTTTTGTAACATACAAAAATATAAATTGTTTCTTTTTTGGATGATCCTACTCAGTTACAATGAATCATAGTATATAATTGTAGTCAATAATATGATTTAATTAAGTGATGACAAAGAGACAACTAGTTTTGTAACGATTTCTCCATTGTCCGATTAAAGACATTATTCAATAATTATATTCTAAAATCATGAATGGTTACAGATCTTCGAGCTTGACTTTCTGTTACTTGTTAGCGATTTGGATATGCCAAATAAATTATCTATTTACTAGAAGATCGTTCAACCTTCCGTTGTATACTACTCCAATATCAAATATACAACCTTCATAAACACCAACCTTAATTACAAAATTCAATTATACCAAAAAAGGGTAAAAACTGATAAATACATGTAATAATAACAATGGTTATTACATAGGAGTCCAGCAAGATTTGGTCTTAGGGTCCCAAACAGAAGGAATCAAGAACTTCAAGTGGTTGATCCCATGTGAGTTAAAGGCTCCACCAGATACCGGGTCAACCCGGATTTTTCCAGTAAAACCCGGAAAAGCTCCGGTTCCAAAAACGCGAGTGCACTTGGTTGCAGGGTCCTCTATATAATCCAAAGAACTGTGTTTTCCGTCCGTGATGTAAGGTGGCTGACATTTGAACAAGGATTCGGTTAAAGCTGGATTGGTGGCTATGTCGGCTAAACCGGTGGCTAGCTGAATAACCAATGCATCAGCTCCTATTTCACCACTTGGTGGTTGATAGGTCATGCCATGTGGACCTTTGTTAGCTATGTGGAAAGGCCAAGCGCACTCTCCGGGACACTGCACCTCCGGGTCGCTCACCATTACGTATGGTTGTGGTTTTTCTTTACCTTGACATCCACGTAACAAAATTATTTTTATTATTATTATTATTATTTTCTCATTTTTAACATAATAAATTAATTAACGAGGAGAAAATAAAACCTGTAATATCACTGACGGTAAGGGCGTAGCGTTGGCAAGTTTTGTTACAAAACCCTAAGCCATGAGCCCTAACTTGTGCCGAAAGTAAAACCACGGGAACCACTTTCGACATGTTTTCTATGGCGGTCTCAACTAGTTTCTCACCGTTTTCGATTGTTAATTCTTTACCATACTTCATCTTCTCATCTACATAGCTCCGGACAATCTTCACCTTAATCCTCGGAGCTACGGTTCTGTTACACTTCTGTCGGTAAATCTCCTTGACCTCATACCTCTCTTGATAACTCTCCACCACTTTCCACCATGATGATACCTTGGGGTCAAGACCTTCCTTGGCGTCAAAGTTAAGCGATTCTATGAAATCTCGAACCCTCTCTTTCTGGACCGGTGTGAATTGTCCGTACCAGAGTAAAGAGAGATCTAAGGTTCCGTTTGGGACTTGCGAAGGTGAGTCAAAAGAAAAGCAGAGAGGCGCTAAGAGGAGGAAGGTAATGACGGATAAGGAGGAAGAACAAGACGCCATTGCCACAGCGTTATAATTCTTTTGGCCTTTGATGGGTCTTTTTAGGCTTAAGTTTTATTGCTTAAGCTATTTTTTGACATCAAAAGGTGTTTTTGTTCTTCTTCCGAATAATACCAATGAATCAAAAGAGCTGACTATTTTAAAACGGGTGGTGAAAAACTCTTTAAGTTCCAAAACTCTATTAACATGTATTGATGATGATTAATGTTGTACATGTTTAGGACGTTGTACATTTTATTACACAAAAGCAAATGAATCGAAGATACAGTTTAAATTTGAATTTAAATTAATTAGTACCCGGATGATGATCCGAGGTTAGGTTTAGTTTGCGTGGGTAAGACGCAATCTGTGTCTTTGCAAACCAGCCATTTCAAGCCTTTCTCCTCTTTCCTCGTCAGCTTAGACGCTACCGACTTGATTCCATTCTTCATATAATTCACAACGAAAATTGCAACCTCTCTGCAAAAAAAATGTAGTAGATGATTATAGACCTAAATAGTTTCTTCCATTATTCGACTTGTGTTTGTGTGTATGTATAACTTACAAGGGTGAGCAAGGAGAACGATAACCATTGACGAAGTAGACAAACAAGAAGGCATCAAAATGCTGTCGTTTGATTAGATAGAATCCGTTTAATCTCCTGACGCATCTGAACATCAATCTGTTATACAAACGGATTGCAGGTTTGTTGTATGCAATCACGTGAAGGTAGACTCCTCGGCATAAAGATAAACCAGAAGCATATCTAATCACCTCACTAATAAGTGACATTGCTGACAAAATAAAAAAGCGTCAGAATGTATTAGACCAAGGGATTAAGAAAAAATACAGTTCTAAGATTTGATTAAAATACCTATTCCATGGTTTCTGTAAGTTTCTACAACGCCGAGTGTCAAGATGTATATCAAAGTCTCCTCTCCTTGTGAGGAATCGTAACATATTAGATCATCTATCTGGCAACACACGGAAACCATCTGCTAGCTGAATGAAGGTATATATATGAGAAGATAAAAAAACAATACTACAAGCTGATTCAATTCTAAAGATTTTCACAACTGAACCACTTGGCAAATAAGCACATTCACTGAAGCCAAGCTATAACCTTAAACATTATGATCCAACAATCAAAATCTACACAATACAAGAACAACCCAAAGGCTTACAGAACAAAGACCCACTTGATGAACCGCATCAAGAATTAACCTAAAACCATTAGCGTTATAAACCATTACAACATTCAAGATCTACACTTTACAGGACCCATTGCAAGATCATTGCTTGTAATCGCACCATTTCTGTTTTGGGAACTCAAAAGCTTACAGAAGGAAGAAAAACCAAGCTAAAACCATAAACAGTGGTTAATAAGAACGAAAAAAGTCACCTCGCTGTCTTTGGCAAGCACAAACTTGGCAGTAACGAAACCGATAAGTTCATCAGAATAACCATCAGGCCGGCTCCGATCAACAGCAGCCCATGAGACGATACCAACTCCGTTCACAACAGTCTGGAAAAACTCATACTCATACCTGATACAAACAACAATAAAAACCAAAGCTTTAAATATTTTCACAAGACACAAAAAAAAAAAATAGAAAATTTGAATCTCAAATATACAAAAAAGGAAGTAGTTGCATACTTGATGGGGAAGATATCTCGATGTATCTGCTCCAACCGATCTAAATCATTAGGGTTTATTGGTCTGTAGTAAATACTCGGACGACGAGAGATTCCTGGTTCCTCCATTAATGAATCTTCAAGGAAAACTTGACATTTGCTTTGAAATGCCAGATCACTGGATCCGACCCGTTGACCTAATCGGATCCGGGCATATCTTTTTCCCAATCTGGATCTGCGTGTGTATGAATTTGATTGGCCAATCTGAGGTTTGCTTCGCGAGAAGGAATCACGAGGAAAAGGTCCTTTCTTTTTTGCCCTCTCCTCTTCCTCTTGGGGTCCTTCCTTCTCGATTGAAAACAAAAAGCATCTTGGCTCACGTGCTTTTGCCACAGACAAGTAGACAAACATGTGCCTCCCTCCCTCTTCTTACAAAGCCAGTCATGTTCTGTAATGAAAAAACAAACATTCGACAAACGCGAAACGTTAAAAAAAACGTTAGCGATTAGATTCCAATAATAGAGAGTGTAGATACGCCACGTAAGCAAATAAAAAAAGCTTAGGGCCAGATACGTGATTAGAGGAAAAGAAAAGACCAGGTACGTTAATGAATTAAAAAAAAAGGCCCAAGTACGTCGTGTCAGTAGCCCACGTGGTATTTCTTATCTAAAAAGTAATTAAAACTAATTAAAAAATAAAAAATCGGACGGTGAAGATGAAATCACATCGACGGTGGAAAACTCTCCACGTTAAGACATTTCAGTATAAATAAAAGAAGCAAGTGAGCAAGAGTTTAAGACAAAAGTGTGTTAGAAGAAGAACTACTTTCTCTCTTCATCGATAAGATTAGAAACTTTTCTTTAAGAGTTATGGTGGGGTCCATCTGCGAATCTGTACCGACGGCGAACTCTTCTACGGTGGTGAACTCTATTCCTCCGTTTCTGAGCAAGACATACGATATGGTTGACGATCCATTGACCGACGAGGTGGTCTCTTGGAGCAGTGGAGACAAGAGCTTCGTTGTCTGGAACGTGCCTGAGTTTGCTAGACTGTTTCTACCAAAGTACTTCAAGCATAATAATTTCTCCAGCTTTGTCAGGCAGCTCAATACTTATGTAAGCGATTCTCTTCTTAATTTGTTTCATAGATCATTTGGGGAAATCTTGCTTTTATTTTTCTCTCTTGTTTTGATTTAAAGTTTGGATTTTTATTGGTATATGAAAGAGTGAATATTTGTGGTTCATTCATCATTTTTCTTTTGCTTATAAAAAAAAAGAAGAAATTAAGGTTTAAAGGATTGTAGTCTCATCTCTGGGGTTCTTAGCTTTGTTGAAGCACAAAACATAGATTCTTAAGAATCACCACATAAGGAGTGTGAAAGAATATAATTGTGAAAAGTCAACTCCTATGATTCTTTAGGATAATGCTTATTCTAAAGAGTTTTAGATGTTGGTAGAACTATGCACGTTTAGCCCCGTTTGATGCCGTTTTTGTTAAACAGTGGATCAGTATTTTGCATATATGGTTTGTCCTTGTTTTGCAGGTATATTCTCAGGAGTTCAGGCATATTCTTTATTTTGTTTTCCCTAAGTTTCTGAGCCCCATCTGTGTCTTTGATGCTGGAATGAAATGTTGTCATCACAAAACCATGAAGACAATACTCTTATATAGCTTTCTTTCTTTTCTTCTCTTACTTACCAAAAGGGTTGCACGAACTTTGCAGGCTTATTTGGACATGTGCTCATATGTGTCCTCAGAAGTTCCATTTCTGCTCTTAAGCACAAAACAAAAATTTCTATCAGTTGTCTCACTCACCTTAGCTTTCCCTTCCTTTGTAATTATCCGTCCAGGTACATGCCGATACACTATAAGAATTATTAGTTTTGTTGAGACATAGTAGCTTGATGCTGTAGTTAGACACAATGAAGATTATCATCTTTGGACTACTTATTATTAAACTATTTAATGGTCTTTGTGGTCCTATTTTAATGTAACTTCTTGTGGTTGATGATCTGTTCCATTCTTTATGCATGAATGTTTCAGGGTTTCAGAAAAGTTGATCCAGATCGCTGGGAATTTGCAAATGAAGGATTTGTAAGAGGCCAAAAACAGTTACTAAAGAGTATTGTCCGGAGAAAGCCTTCTCAGGTGCAGCCTTCACAACAACCTCAAGTTCAGCACTCATCTGTTGGTGCCTGCGTAGAAGTGGGGAAGTTTGGACTAGAAGAAGAAGTGGAAAGACTCCAGCGTGATAAGAACGTCCTTACCCAAGAACTTGTGAGGTTAAGGCAGCAACAGCAAGTCACTGAACATCATCTGCAAAACGTGGGGCAGAAAGTTCATGTGATGGAGCAGAGGCAGCAGCAAATGATGTCGTTTCTAGCAAAGGCTGTTCAGAGTCCAGGTTTCTTGAACCAGTTTTCACAGCAGAACAATGAGGGGAACAACCAACACATTTCTTCCGAGAGTAACAAAAAAAGGAGGCTACCTGTTGAGGACCACAAGTATCCTGGAAGTGGAAGTTATGGAGCTAATGGTCTTAGCCGCCAGATTGTTAGATACCAATCATCGATGAACGAAGCAGCAGATACTATGCTTGAACAGATACACAATATGAGTAACCCACATAGCCACCAAGAACCCCTCTCCCATGGTAGCAGCTTTCTTTTGGGCGATGTTCCTAACATTTCAGACAATGGGAGCTCCACAAATGGAGCATCTGGAGTTACATTGGCAGATGTTTCATCTACTCCTCCCATTAATTATCACGTCCCTTGTGAAACAAACCAAATCCTGGAGGGTAATTTGCCGTTTGCTCAAGGTGATATCTTAGCTCCGAGCCAAGAAGCAGCTTATGGGAGCTCAAATTCTAATCTAGTTGGATGCGAGACAGATAATGGAGAGTGTTTGGATCCAATAATGGCTGTTCTGGCTGGCTCAATGGCACTAGACTCCAATGCAGTGAATGAGTTGCTTCCTGGAGTTCAAGATCCATTGTGGGAACAGTTCTTTGGTGAGAGACCAGTGATTGGTGACACAGAGGAGCTAGTCTCAGGGTCAGTGGACAATGAGTTGATAATGGAGCAGCTAGGATTACAATGTAATCTGAGGAATGTGTTGAGCAACAATCAACAAATGAACCATCTTACTGAACAAATGGGATTTCTCACACCAGATGCGCTCAGGAAGTGATAATCAGGTAAAAATCCATCTTTTTTTTATTGATGACTTTATAATATTAACACATTTCCAGAATCTTTGTGCAAAATAAAAAAAACGGCTTGTTCTCGCAGATGTAGAAGATGGGTTAAGGACCAAGGTTTTCTGGAGCTGCAGCAACAAAACGATAATGGCAAAAAGAGGTGTTATGTATGTATCATATATGTATCAAACTTGTGTTACTCTCATTCTTGTCATCATTGTGTAATAAAGTAATAAAATTATAGCCTTTAAGATTTATGCATTAAACTTGGAAAGAAATCACTACTTGTTAATAGTAGCACAATACGAACATTTGTAATATTCATTATACAACAACAAAAAAACAGTTGTATTGATTTACTTCATAATACAAAATAAAACAATATGGCGACTCCTATGTCATCTGCCGAATGGCTCCCGACAAAAGAAAAAGTAACTTCAAATGAGTTGAGATTAGCACTATAATGAGCTCTGTAACAGGGCTTAACTTAATACAAAACAGCTCTGAAAATCAAATGTTATTACAACAAAAAATGTTTAAAAGAAATTCGGTACTGGCAAATTGATTAAAAAGCTAAGGGAAGATGCATGATTCCAATTGCTCTAATATTTGCTAGTGCATTTTTCCTAGGTAGACAGTATGAAGTTTCCTGCGAAGTGAAATAACAGGATAAGATAGGTGCATCCGTATTTTTAATATCAACCGTATGAAATGAATTCAGCACATCCTTCATTGGGACCTATTTTTTATGCATTCAAACGGCTATCTCGCGTCTAACAAAACTCACTAGAGCGTTGTAGATGCATTTTGATTTATAATTATCTTTTCCAGAGATAGTTAATTTGTATTTTTGAAATTAACATTAGTTTCAAGTTATTTTTATTATTCAATTTATAAGCATCAGTTGAAGTATAGAAAAAAACATATAATCAAATTATTTCTTTCACTTGAGATCAGTATAATACTCATGTTATAATAGGGTATAACAATATACATAGTCGAGTTCTAAGGTACAAAAACAAAATACAAATATCTCAAAATCTCTCATGATTTTCTCAAAGTTTACATTTCTCAAAGTTTATTATGTTATAATGGTTAGATATTAAGTGTGGCCTTCTCTTAAGTTCTATTCAGAAAAGATCTCTCTTCAGCTTCATAATTTTTTGGATTGGCGGGTTCAATTTATGAAACGCTGTGATATCAAGGGTGCCTTTCTAATTGCTGAAAGTGTCATCAAAGAGGATCGGTTTCAATCTTACATAGCTGCAGGATTTCCTTGTTGGTTAAGGCATCTCTTTTCGTAGCCTTTTGCTCTCTTTGTACTGTTTATATTGGAGCCGATCCTCTGTTCTTTTGTTATAGTTGTCGGTTCCACCTTGTACTCATTTCCTTCTCTTTTAAATATAATGAAAAGTGTAAAAAAAAAAAAAAATGGTTAGATACCAATGATAAAGATGCTAGAGATTTTACTGAAGACATCAATTTATGATATAATAGTAAATTAAATATTTTGGTTTCTGATATAGAACTAAATTGAATATTTTAGAAATTTAGATGGCATAAGCTATAAACTATATCCAACTAATCTAAGAGAATATTATACCATAAGCATATATGTCTCATAGTTAATTTTTACTTAATCAAATTTTTCAGGACTAGCTACGGTGTCAACTGATTTATGAAAATTTAATTTTATCAAGTTGACGAAAGTAACAATATTTATGACTTAAATGTAACTTCAAATTTTAATTTAACCTTTTTAGGAAACTATACCTACATAGCTTTTACTCATTTTAAAACTCAGAAGTTTGAAATGTTAGTTACAAAGAAAAACTTTTTTATTTCTTTTGTGGAAGTGACAAAAAGAAATATTTGTAGACGTCTTTGTTGCATGACGCCAAAATAGTCTGATTCGCGAAGAAAATACAAACTAGTGAACTTTAAAGTAAACGATATTGAAATTATTGGTTCTGAGGATCTACAAAGTTATTTAAAGAAACTTAAGAATCCCGATACTTTTATCAGGATACAAACAAGTTTTACTAAAGAAGCAGCAGATTTAAATTTTACTAGGTACGTATTTGGGAGACGTTATTAAGAAATGTATGATATTTTTATTACACTACAAACCATTGTACAAACATATGCTTTACAGGGTTTTTTTACTGATTGAGACATATTTATATGTTTACTCGGTTTTGTCCTTTTATTTTTTTTCACATCTGTTAATAGGCTCATAGAAAAGGCCATAAAACACATGACTGATTGAAAGTATATTTATTATTATATTTTATACTAGGGCGGGCCCGGGCTACGCCCGGGTTTTTGTTTAAATTTTAATTTTAATTATATATGTTGTATGTTATTTTGATGTATAAATATTATAAAAATAGAAACAGTTAGACAATTATCATTTTTTATTATTTTTTATTTTTTATCTTACAAGTTACAAATATCAAAAATTTAATATCCAAATTTTGTATATCATAGATTATCAATATGTGTTTATGTATTTTGTGTAGAATTGTTTTGTACTGTGACGTTCGTCTCAGTTTTTGTTTATTTATTTATCGTGTCTTATTATTTTATTTTAAAATTATTTTTTGTAAAATATTGCTTAGTTATTTATTACTCATTTTTTATTTTTTAAATCATTTTTGATAATTATTTTAAATTTGAACGTATTTATCTAAAATGGAAAGAAAATTTAGTGTGTATTTTTTTCTCTTTAGGTCCGAAAAGAAAACAATATAATAATATTTTTTTTTTCATTTTCAAACTTAACTTCTCTATTTATTTTGAATATGTTTAAGTATTGTGTAATTTTACTAAACTATTAAATCTTTATTAAACTTCATTAAACACAAAAAAAAACTTTTCATTAAACTCAAATTATATTACATAGCATCATTATATTTTACTTAATCTATTTTTATATCTTAATGGTTCTTTGTTTTAAAAAGGTGGAAGACACTCTGTAAAAATTTTACACAGTGAACATCAACTTTGAATCTTTCACCATTATATAATAACAAAACACTCTGTGAAAATTTACACAGTTTCTTAACAAAACAATTGCATAGCATAGTTTTGAACTGGTAATCACCCGACAATATTCCCCTTTACACTGTCACCACGACGATATGTAGGGCACATCACTCAACAAAAGAAACTTTTCCAAAGACTGTTATTGTTGTTTAGAGACCTGCCTTTGATTTGCAGTAGACAAATCTGAGAATCAGACACCAAAAGCTAAGACCGTCTCTCTTAACAATCCAGCGTGAGCAAGCACACTATCAGAATAACCACTTTCGTAAAATCCACATTCTTTATTTTGTTATTCTTTAACATTTTCACAGCTCTAAAACAGTGGCAGGTTAAAACCAATCTCATCTCTCTTATATTTTTTTCTATTTATCATGTGGGCGGAGAACAAGTGGACGCATAAAGAAAATCTAGACCTACACAATATCTCAGCCTAATAACCTTTTGGTATAAACACTGTACCTCCAATATCTTTCCAACAATTAACTCGTGGCTTCTCTAAAATCTGGAAGTGGAACATGGTTGTGCTAAAACCCACTTTCCTCTTGTTCCTTTCGGAATAATAAGAGCAAGATATTGATGTCATTGATGCTTGGTTCGAGCAGAGATGCTATTAATAAGATGATCAAAGTTTCCAAAATTGCATCGCCTCTCTGGAGAGTTGCAAACAAAATACTTTTTGAAAGTGTTAGTGGGTTATAAGTTAGTCTTTGAAGAGATAGTTAACCATGACTTGTGGGCACCTTGTGTGCGTGTGAATATGCTGTAGTGTGAGGCCAATTCCTGCAAATAGTAGTTGACTGAGCTTGATAAGTGAATTAAATAAGAAATGATGGAAATAAGATTAGTACAGAGAATGAGTTACATTAACACTGTTTTGCAAGTTGAGGTGATCAAGGAGAATGCCAATCCTTGCATTATGCAAATGGAACTTTACCCCAACTAAAGAATCAAATGGGAGACTCATCATAAAATCTGAAAGATCTTTTTAAACCTCGTCTTACATTCAGTGATTTTAAGAAGATTACAATTGTCTGGTATTTCCTTTGATCAACCACCATAATCTCTTTCTCAGCAGAGGCATCATTGACGTTAGACACGTTCCTTTGGGGCAGAACTTTCTGAAATGCAACCAAGCAGATGTTCCATTAGATATTTTGCACTATGTTTAGTACCATACAATTAAAAAAAGATATTGAAAACAGAAAGTTCGAACGTAGGTTAAGGTTACATGACAATGTTGAAAACAGTATACACACCTTGATGAATTTGTCCACGTTGAATCTTTCTCAACCTTAGACCATCCCTGATTTTTTCTGCCCTTACTGCTTACAGTCACAGAGGCGTCAACTTCCTCTTTCTCAAGAGTAGTATAGTTATGTTTTCCGATCACTGATATGCAGCTAAACTCGTTTCCTCGAGCTTCACTATTTTTCTTCTCCATTGGCCATTATCCTGCTGCTTCATGCCTCCCTATCTCTATGCTAAGCCTTATTCCTTCCGATTCTGAAATTACTCTGAAAATCCAAAATAACACATCCAAGAATGCTTACGATATTTGCCAAAAAACTTAAAAATGAAAACAAACTCATTGGAAATCTCTCAAGTCTTATATGAACACATATATTGTACCTTGAGCCAGTAATTCGACACACCCTGGAGGGTCATCTCTTGAATTTCGTGTAATAAACACATGAAAATTATGAAGCTAGAGAAGATTTAGTCAATGCTTTAGCAATCGCTGATTAATCTAAGAAGTACCCTGACTTGAAACAACCCAGACGACATGGCCATGGTACAGAGCTCCTGCAGCCAGAGCTTGTAATCTCTTAAACAAACAAAACAAACTTAATAGGATTTTTGGCATACGAAAATACCAAAGAAAAATGCAAAAGGAAAAATGCAAAATTTAAAACTTAACAACTGGAATTAGCCATTTTTTGCTAGAATCCTTAGGAAATCTTATGAATGAGAAAAGTGAACTGGTGATTTAATGGGACAGAACATACCTTTTTATGGTCGAAACTTAGAAAGAAGTTAATGGGGATGCAAACAGATTGTGAGAGTAGTGGTAGCTTTTGTTAATTATTGCGTTTAAGGCGACGCTTCGGCTGGATCTGTAAAGTCTCCAGTTCTTTTAACGCCGGTACGAAGAACAAAATCAGAACTGAAAGGGTTAGTACTATCAATGGAGCTTTTGTTTCTTGGGGGTTGCGCCGAGTTCTTCTTATCGACTGTTCCTTCGTTTGAGATTAAGTGAAGAATCGCAAGAGTTTGGCGGAAGAGGACGACTCTGTTCTTTGATGCAGAAAATTTAGGTTAAGTGTTCTAGAAAAAAATTAACATTTCTTTTCAATACACCAAAGAACGAAGCCCAAACGTAAACAGTTTAAGCCCAGACGATTTTGGCCCAAAACGGATGCTGACCTGGACTTTCCACGCTGGCGCTGAGGTGGCACTCCTTAGAAGGAAGGATGCTTTCCTTTATATAATAGATTATATTATTACTTTTCGTCTCTTAGTTATTTTTGAGATATCCATCAAAATTGTGGGTGGCACATGACTAGTAGTTATCGTTGGTCCTGCTGGTAATAGCCTCGAAGGTGTTGGAGAACGCTTATACCGCGTTTGTATGTGGGCTGACGATATAAAGACGATAAATTATGAAATGAAAACAATTACTAATTATTAGAAAATAGAATAGTTAGAGGTTTTCTAAATGTTTTAAAATGCTAAAACAGATAAAACTGTACCATTTGTTTCATTGTTTGAATATTGCATAAGAAACTGACTGCTTTTATCAATAAATCCAAACTAAAAGAATTTGTTTTGAAAAATATAAAAAAATATTTCTTATAATTAATATTTGTTTGTTAGTTTAATTTATATCTTTCTACTCTATAGTAATTGGTATTATTATTTTTAATGTAGAAGTTTTATGATTTTTTCCGCTTATTATATGTACAAACATTCACACGGTTTTAGTCACGATTCAAAGTTCTTGAAAGAAACACCATCATCATTGAGAACATGTTTCACATTTTGGTGAAACAAATGCAAAGCTCGCATTTGAAGGGTCCAACGATGTCACTCCCAACCTCTTACTTAACCGGGACAAAATAAAATGTATAACAATACTAGATCAACTGCAAATATTGAATAGAGTTCAATAAATTTTAGTAATTAGGTTTATTTTTTTTAATATTCCAATTGTAAATAGTTTTAGTATCAAAGTGAAAGTTAGCAGAAAATATAAGCAAAAAGAAGTTAAACACAAGAAAAATATAAGTAAAATGTAAAACAATTCTAGAAAAGATAAATAAATATTAAAGCAAAACACTATAATGTTTAAACTAGGTAGCCTACAACATTGAAGTTTTTGGGATTAGGTCCTTCAAATGCCTACTACATTGACAGAATTGGTTAAGAATGAAATCCCTATCTAAAAGTTAAGGTTATCTAAATAAAACTGATATAATACTAAGTAATAGGTCTGGGCATTTTACCCAGACCCGAAGATCTGAACCGAAACTGGCCCAAAAATATCTGACCCGAACCCGACCCGAAAATTTACAAGTACCTATTGGGTTTAAATTTCTTTTACCCGAATAGATCCGGATCCGAAAAGAACCAACCCGAATAGATCCGGATCCGAAAAGAACCAACCCGAATAGACTCGACCCGATAAGAACCGATTTGTACCCGACTTATAAACATGTATATCCAAAACTATTATTTTTGTGTTATGTTTTATATATCTATACTATTTTATAATTTAGTTGAAATATATTTTGTTAACAATATTTATCATTATTTGTAACATTTTTAAGTAATAGAAAGTTTTAAAATATAAAATTTAGAGTTTAAATTTTTTTCTTTAATTATTAATAGTTTAGTTTAAGGTATTTTATAAAATTTTAGATATATATGAAATATATTGACTGAATTTGAGTGAGTGTGGGCATGTTATGTATTTTTTAGATTCTAAATACCTGGACCCGATATGGATCCGAAAATTACGCATATTTTACAGGTATTGGAATTACAGACCCGAATCGACCCGAACCCAGCAAGACCCGACCCGAAAAATCATAGGTACCCATATGAGTCTAAATTTTCAAGATCCGAAACACCCAAACCTGACATGATCCGAACCGAACTCGACCAGAGGATCCAGATGCCCAGACCTACTAAGTAGGCTGATCAACAATCTATATATTGTCAATTTTTTTTTTGTCAACAATCCATTTTACTAGATTAAGTGATAGTCGAGGTTAAGTTATTCCAAAAACACTTATTCTGACTCATTTTGATATCTTATATATTAAAACAGAAGTCATGACTTGAGTTCATGTGTGATTTTTTTAAAAATGGACTATTACTAGAAATTCATGTTACATTAACTCTCTAATAATCTTATCATTATTATATCTTATGAAAAATCATATGTATAATAACAAAGATATGTTTAACAATTTGGTTTTGGTAAATTACCCCCACACCTTCCAACTTAGTCACGCAAAATATGTCAATAGATATAAATTTAGGAATCTTCTATTATTTATAAGGAAATATGTCAATAATAGTTAAATGCATCCACAATATATTAACAAAAATCACGGATTCATAATATGGAATATTTATATAGCCTAACAAAATTTACACGCTATATATACTAGATAAATTTATTTCGATGTAAAATTTTAAAATTATATTGTTTAAAAAATTCTTTTTAATAATTTTTTTTATAATATTAATTTATGAAGCTATAAGTTTAGTTTTTAGCAAAAATTTATTCGAAGTTTATATTATCTTTGCAAATTAAAGTATACTAATATTTAATCAAGCTCTATTTATATTACTTTATCTAAAAATGAAATACTAATCTAACATACAATAAAATATAGAAGAAGAAACAAACACATGTTTAAAAAACATGTATAATATAGAAAATTTGAAACAATCTATTTGATTAAAACACGTATTATATAATATTATTATGTATGAAAAACATTTACTATACATATAGTAAATATGTAAAATATTATAATATATACTAATTTACAAGTGAAAAAAAATGTTTATATAATTAACTATAAACGAAAACAAACTCCCGCGCGGTTGCGGGGGTCAAAATCTAGTAGTACATTAAAAAGGATAACATTGTTTTCACCATTCTGGTAAAAGAGTTTGAATACTAAATCTAATCATATGAGAAATGAACCTGAAAAATTGTCTTGTAAAAAGCGGAAAAAGAATTATCAGATTAGATAGCACAATTGATACTTGTGTTTCTTTTTTAAAAAAAATATTATATTATTTTGATCTTATGCTTTTAAAATGCAGAATTATGACTTGATCCCTATAAGTATACCTAATGCGTGATTGACTTTTTGACGGTTGTATTGTATGCAAACCGTCATTTCTGTTCCTGCGAATTTCTCAAAATACTTTTGAACTTTTTCTTTTCTCAAAAATGTTAATTTTTCTTCTTTTAACATTTTACATTTCGGCCGTTCAAAAAAAAAAAAAAAACATTTTACATTTCCATCGAACGCGTTAACTATAATAAAAATAAATAAACAAATAATGGATTCCTTAACTCTCTCTACCTTGTCCGAAAACCTCAAGTCAAAGAGAATACCAAAAGGTAAAAAGAAAAAACTATTCTCCGCCGGTTTCTTCCCTCGCCGGCGTTTATACAGTCATCGTCACTGTTACCACCATAGAACCTTACTGTATCAGTTAAAAAATCAAAGATCATTGGATCTTCTTTCATTCTCATCTCTCATCTACAATCCATTATTTATAATATAAAATATAATTTTCTGTAAGATCTGTGAATAAAAAAATGAGGCAATGGTTGCCAGCGTTACGTGAATCAGTAACGCAAGAGTAGTGCATATGTATTTGGTCACGACTAAGTCCCTTTCCTCGTCTCTTCTTCTTCTCTCTTTCACATGTTCATAACAAGTTTGGGAAACACGACCACATTTTTGATCTCGTCAGCAAAGATTTGTTAAATTAAGAAACCCTTTGCTTCTTCTTCTCTCAGTATTTAATCTGCTGAAGATCTTGAAGCTCAAACCTTCCTCTGCTACAGACTCTCAGGTAACTATCACATTTTAGATTTAGATTTCAAAGTTTTAAAGTTTGAGCTTAGTGAGTTAGAGTCTTCTTTAGCTGCTTCAGATTCAAGCTTCTCTGTGGGGTTATGACACAATGATCATTGTCTTTTTGATGACTTTATTGGATAATTATATTATGACAAGATCTTGTTCTTGTTCAACTCTAGATCTGTTTTTGTTTCTTGACTATGACTTGAAGATTTGACCTTTATTATACCTTTTTGCTTTTTTTTTTTTTGTTTCGCAGGGATCTGCCGGCTACAATAGTCCGGTGGATTATTAGACAATGGCGTCTAATAATCATTTCACAAGCAGTAGATCTAATCTATCAACAAACTCTGACGCTGCTGAAGCCGTGAGGAACCAGCAGCAGCCACCTGGTGTGACATTTGCTCGAAGAACATCCTCTGGACGCTATGTCAACTACTCAAGAGATGATCTCGAAAGTGAACTCGGAAGTGTTGATTTCACTAACTACACAGTTCACATTCCACCAACTCCTGATAACCAGCCCATGGATCCATCCATCTCTCAGAAGGTTGAGGAGCAGTATGTGTCCAGCTCCTTGTTCACTGGTGGTTTCAACAGTGTGACCCGTGCTCATCTTATGGACAAAGTGATTGACTCTGAGACCAGCCATCCGCAGATGGCGGGTGCTAAAGGCTCATCTTGTGCCATTCCTGGTTGTGATGTGAAGGTGATGAGTGATGGGAGAGGTCAAGATCTGCTTCCTTGTGAGTGTGACTTCAAAATCTGTAGAGACTGCTTTGTGGATGCTGTGAAAGCAGGAGGTGGGATGTGTCCAGGGTGTAAGGAACCTTACAGGAACACTGATCTTACAGATTTGGCTGAGGACAACAATGTGCAGCAGAAGCAGAGGCCTATGCTTCCTCCACCATCTGGTGGTGGCTCGAAGATGGATAGAAGATTGTCATTGATGAAGTCAACTAAGTCTGGTTTGATGAGGAGTCAAACTGGGGATTTTGATCATAACAGGTGGTTGTTTGAAACAAGTGGGACTTATGGTTATGGTAATGCTTTCTGGACAAAAGATGGGAACTTTGGTAGTGACAAGGATGGTAATGGGGGACAAGGTATGGGACCGCAGGATCTGATGAGCAGACCGTGGAGACCGCTTACTAGAAAACTGCAGATTCCTGCAGCTGTTATCAGTCCTTACAGGTGAAAACTGTTTGTTCTTTTGTATCCAGCATATCACTATTTAGTTCAAAATGTTCTAAAAATCGGTTTAGCCGGCTCCTAGGTGTCTAATTGGCAAATCGGACTTGAACATTGGTTCAAACTTTCACTGATACGTTTAAATTTTCTTGTGCAGGCTTTTGATATTTATAAGAATCGTTGTTCTTGCACTGTTCTTGATGTGGAGGATTAAGCACAAAAACCAAGATGCAATATGGCTATGGGGGATGTCTGTAGTTTGTGAGCTTTGGTTCGCCTTTTCTTGGCTTCTTGACCAGCTTCCAAAGCTATGTCCAATAAACCGAGCTACAGATCTCAATGTTCTTAAAGAGAAATTCGAAACACCTACACCAAGCAACCCGACAGGGAAGTCTGATCTCCCTGGACTAGATATGTTTGTATCTACAGCAGATCCAGAGAAAGAGCCTCCACTTGTCACTTCCAACACCATTTTATCCATCCTCGCTGCTGACTACCCTGTAGAAAAGCTTGCTTGCTATGTCTCAGACGATGGAGGAGCGCTTCTGACGTTTGAAGCCATGGCTGAAGCAGCTAGTTTTGCAAACATATGGGTTCCTTTCTGTCGTAAACACGATATAGAGCCGAGGAATCCTGATTCTTATTTTAGTCTGAAGAGAGATCCTTACAAGAACAAGGTGAAGTCTGACTTCGTTAAGGATAGGAGAAAGGTGAAGCGTGAGTATGATGAGTATAAGGTTAGGATCAATGGCTTGCCTGACTCTATTAGGAGACGTTCTGATGCTTATCACGCGAGGGAAGAGATTAAGGCCATGAAGCAGCAGAGACAGAACAAAGAGGATGAGATTGTAGAGCCTGTTAAGATTCCTAAAGCTACTTGGATGGCTGATGGTACTCACTGGCCTGGAACTTGGCTTAACTCTGCTCCTGATCATTCCCGTAGTGACCATGCTGGTATCATTCAGGTACAACATTTCAGCTCAGTTCATTTATATTTGGTTTGTAGCATTCAATTCACTCATAAACAGGCCGGTTTTGAGAATGTGGGGTGTTAGACAATTTAGTAAGAAAATTTATAAATTTTTCTTTTGCAATAGGGCCATATATATAATTTGTCTATTATGCTCAGGACCGGCCCTGCTGTAACCGGAGTTTGGTTCCATTGAACAAGAATTTTGTTTTGTTTCAGTTCAGTTTCTATTACATCTCTAAGATAAATGTTTTTTCAAACTTTTGCAAATGCAGGTGATGTTGAAGCCACCTAGTGATGAGCCACTACATGGAGTATCCGAAGGGTTCTTAGATCTTACAGACGTGGACATTCGTCTTCCACTTCTAGTCTACGTCTCCCGTGAGAAACGACCAGGTTATGACCACAACAAGAAAGCAGGAGCCATGAATGCTCTTGTCAGAGCTTCTGCAATCATGTCCAACGGTCCATTCATATTAAATCTCGACTGTGATCATTACATATACAACTCTCAGGCTTTAAGAGAAGGAATGTGTTTCATGATGGACAGAGGCGGTGACCGTCTTTGCTACGTTCAGTTCCCGCAACGTTTTGAAGGCATTGATCCCTCAGATCGGTACGCTAATCACAACACTGTCTTCTTTGACGTCAACATGAGAGCTCTCGATGGTTTGATGGGTCCTGTCTATGTGGGAACGGGTTGTCTCTTTAGAAGAATCGCCTTGTACGGGTTTGACCCGCCTCGGTCTAAAGAACACCATCCAGGATGCTGTAGCTGTTGCTTCCCTCGCAAGAAGAAGAAGAGCCGTGTCCCTGAAGAGAACAGATCTTTGAGAATGGGTGGTGATGACTCTGATGATGATCAAGAGATGAATCTTTCTTTGGTTCCAAAGAAGTTCGGAAACTCAACTTTCCTTATAGATTCAATCCCTGTCGCTGAGTTCCAAGGCCGTCCTCTCGCTGATCACCCCGCTGTGCAAAACGGTAGACCTCCAGGTGCTCTCACCATCCCTCGTGAGCTTCTAGACGCGTCAACGGTTGCAGAAGCTATAGCAGTCATCTCATGTTGGTATGAAGATAAAACCGAGTGGGGGTCTAGGATTGGTTGGATTTACGGGTCAGTTACTGAAGATGTTGTCACTGGTTATAGAATGCATAACCGTGGATGGAAGTCAGTTTACTGCGTGACGAAACGTGATGCTTTCCGTGGCACAGCTCCTATAAACTTGACTGATAGGCTTCACCAGGTTCTTAGATGGGCTACTGGCTCTGTTGAGATCTTCTTCTCAAGAAACAACGCCTTCTTGGCGAGTCCAAGAATGAAGATTCTTCAAAGAATCGCTTACCTTAACGTTGGAATCTATCCTTTTACATCAATCTTCCTTATAGTATACTGTTTCCTCCCTGCGCTCTCACTCTTCTCAGGGCAGTTCATAGTCCAAACACTTAATGTTACCTTCCTCATCTACCTTCTGATCATCTCCATCACGTTGTGTTTACTAGCTCTCCTCGAGATCAAATGGTCAGGAATCTCACTCGAGGAGTGGTGGAGGAACGAGCAGTTCTGGCTCATTGGTGGAACAAGTGCTCATTTAGCTGCGGTTATCCAAGGACTGCTCAAAGTGGTGGCTGGAATCGAAATCTCTTTCACATTGACGTCTAAATCAGGAGGAGAGGACGTGGACGACGAGTTTGCTGATCTCTACATAGTGAAATGGACTTCTCTCATGCTCCCACCAATCACTATCATGATGGTGAATCTTATAGCTATTGCGGTTGGGTTTAGTAGGACGATATACAGTACGATTCCACAGTGGAGTAAGTTGATAGGAGGAGTGTTCTTTAGTTTTTGGGTGTTGGCTCATCTTTATCCGTTTGCTAAAGGGCTTATGGGGAGAAGAGGGAGGACTCCGACCATTGTTTATGTTTGGTCGGGACTTATTGCTATCACCATATCTCTGCTTTGGGTGGCTGTTAATCCACCTGCTGGTTCTACTCAAATTGGAGGGTCTTTCACTTTTCCATGAGTTAATAGGTTTGGTTTCTCGATCAGTCTCTTTACCTCTCTCTGTTAGTTTCATTCTTCTGTCCAAAGATGAGAGAGACTTGCAAGAGACTGATGGGTTTCAACAGAGGTTGGCCAAGAAGAACACAAAGTAAAGTTTGAGCCAAACAAAATATAGAGCAAGTCAACAACTTGTCTCATTGTCTTTGACACTATCCTTATCTCTCTTTGATTTTTTGCTGGAAAGGACAATTTTCTTTTTAAATTTGATGATAAAGTTATTTATGCAGGATACTGTTAATCTATTATATGCAATTTTTCCTTAAGAGATTTCTTGATTCATTTAGGCTTATTTGATAAACAGAAAAAAATGAGGGAACTTCATTTAAAAATAGGAATTTTTGTCAATTTGTTTTTCGTCAAAATTGAAGAGAAAAACTTTTCTACACAACTTCTTAGTTTCAGTAAAATTGTATCTACAGTTTGAGAACAACAAAAAAAAATTAAATGGTATAAAGATTAAAGAACAAGAAATTCACCATAATTTTGTTATAATGTGGTTACCAGTTAAAGCTTAGTTAAAAATTAAGATTCATATTAATGGGATCAAACCGGTCGTTGAACAAAAAAAAGGATCAAACCGGTCGTTGAACCAAAAAAAAGGATCAAACCGGTCGGGTTAACGGGTCAAATATCCATAAAACCAACCCGAAAACTAAACCCTACCAAAACCTTAGAGATTTAGAGAAACCTTTCTCTTAACGATGGCAGCTACAAATTTCTTCTTCTCCAAGCCAATCTCTTCTACATAAAACCATTCTCTAATCCGTTAGAACCCTAAAAGTCTCGTCTTCATGGCTCAGAAATGTGCGATTGGTTTTATTTCAGCTCTAGCAGCTGCTTCCGCTTCCCTCTCGCAATCAAAACTCGCTGCTGCTGATGGTCCTCTTCCTCCTCCACATCAGGCTGCTCAAGAATCTCCTCCTCCTCCGCGAGCTCGGAATAATGATAATCCGAGGACGAGTTCCGGTGGTTTCGATCCGGAGGCGCTGGAGCGAGGAGCTAAGGCCTTGAAGGAGATTAACAGCTCCTCTTACGCTAAAAACGTCTCTCTTTGTTTTTGATTTGTCTCTTTAAATACAATAGAATCATGCTTTAGGGTTTAGGATACATTACAACAGTGGACTCATGTTTATTATCAGTTGTGAGTGGACTCATGTTTAATTTATGTGTTTGTTTGTTTCAGGTTTTTGTAAGTATGAAGCAGCAAGAAGAGACAAAGCAAACTGAGTTTGCAGCCAAGGGGCAAGAGTATAAAGCTATGCAAGCCCAAGCTGAAACTGTGAGTTCTACTTATCTGATGTTTTGGGTGTTACAACTAAAGCTACTTTTTTTTTATCTTAGTAAAGTGGAAAACAGTATCTTGTGAAAACATGCTTAGAGTTTCAGCTTGTGATCACTATGAGACACTTACTCTGGATCATTTTGTTGGTAGGCTTAGATGTTTCTTGGTAGGAGTGTTGTGTGTCTGACATTTTTAAATTTTACAGGAGAGGCAAAAGGTGATTTATGATGAGCAGAAGAAACTTTATCAGCACCAAGCACAGACTAAATCTCAGATGGCTCGTTACGAAGATGATTTGGCAAGAAAGAGGATGCAGGCATGCAACTTTCGATACCGTTTTTACAACATCTTAGAGTTTTTTTTTCTTCATTCTAACTGTTTTTGCTGTGTATATTGTTTTTACAGGCTGAGAATGAGTATCATAGAACAAGAAATCAGGAACTTGTGAAAATGCAAGAAGATTCGGCAATCAGGCAGGAACAATCTCGACGAGCTACTGAGGAACAGATCCAGGCACAGAGGCGACAAACTGAGAGGGAGAAGGCTGAGATTGAGCGTGAGACAATCAGGGTCAAATCTATAGCAGAAGCGGAAGGAAGAGCCCATGAAGCAAGGCTTGCTGAAGATGTAAACAGGAGAATGCTTGTTGATCGTGCAAATGCAGAAAGAGAGAAATGGGTTGCTGCCATTAACACTACATTTGACCATATTGGAGGTGTGAGATTCCATTCCATTCATGATATCTCTGTTTTCTTATGCATTAAATCCCATTTTCAATCAAAGTCATAACGCTGGTGTGACATGAGTTAGTGGTTAGAATAGATGTGTGGCCTTATAATCTATACACTGAAGTTCTAATTTGTATTAACAGGTGTTTGACACTTTACTTTTTTTTCCTAGGCGGGTTGCGTGCAATTCTTACAGATCAGAATAAACTGATTGTTGCTGTTGGGGGAGCCACTGCTCTCGCTGCTGGAATCTACACAACGAGGTAAATAACAAGATATTTTGTCCGTAGGTTGAGAAAAAAACTCCGCTACTTGTTGCTATGAAATTTCTTGTTTTACATTTCATAATTGTTTCCTAGTTTGTCTGTCAGCTAGTTGTTCTGCAATATTGAATTTTAATATTTTCCGACTGCTACATTGCTTGTTGTAGAGAAGGTTCAAGGGTCATCTGGAGCTATGTGGAGAGAATATTAGGACAACCATCCTTAATCCGAGAATCTTCAAGGGGCAAGTACCCTTGGTCTGGTTCGGTTTCTCGTGCAATGTCCACATTGCGAGGAAAGGGGTCAGCTATCAAAAATGGAAAAGGGTTTGGTGATGTTATTTTGCATCCTTCCTTACAGAAGAGAATTGAACACTTAGCTAAGGCAACCGCCAACACAAAATCGCACCAAGCTCCATTCCGAAACATGCTTTTCTATGGTCCTCCAGGAACAGGAAAAACAATGGTCGCCAGAGAGCTGGCTCGTAAATCTGTATGTGTTCCCTTTTATATCTGTTCTAATTTATTGCAGAATTGGTATTTAAAACACCCAAATGGATGTGGAGTCTCTAACATATAGGTTGATGTTTACTAATTTCCATGAAAGTTGAAGCTTAGCTCTTAGTTCTGTGTTCATGATATTCTCTGGTTTTGTTACTTCAGCTATTTTTTGTTATTTTAACGTTTATAATTCATGTAGGGTTTGGATTATGCACTGATGACTGGTGGAGATGTTGCTCCCCTTGGATCTCAGGCCGTTACAAAGATTCATCAGCTGTTTGATTGGGGGAAGAAATCTAAGAGAGGCTTGTTACTCTTCATTGATGAAGCTGATGCATTTTTATGCGAGTAAGTGTTGTTACCCATTTCATAATACAGGCTGATCATTCCAACACTTTGTTCATGGTTTGTGTTTATCACAATTCAACAGGAGGAACAAAACATACATGAGTGAAGCCCAAAGGAGTGCACTAAACGCTCTTCTCTTCCGCACAGGTGATCAGTCCAAAGACATAGTCTTAGCACTTGCCACAAATCGACCTGGTGACCTAGACTCAGCTGTGGCTGACCGTGTTGATGAGGTTCTTGAATTCCCCTTACCTGGAGAAGAAGAGCGGTCCAAGCTTCTAAACCTCTACCTAGAAAGGTACATAGCTCAAGCTGGTCCGACAAAGCCGGGTATGTTTGACCGTCTCTTCAAGAAAGAGCAGCAGAAGATCGAGATAAAGGGCGTCACTGACGACCTCTTAAAGGAAGCTGCTGCCAAAACTGAAGGGTTCTCAGGGAGAGAGATTGCGAAACTGATGGCGAGTGTTCAGGCAGCTGTTTATGGAAGTGAAGACTGTGTGTTGGACTCTGTGTTGTTCAGAGAGGTTGTGGATTACAAAGTTGCTGAGCATCAGCAGAGAAGAAAATTGGCTGGCACCGATTAGAAATGAGATTTATATGTTAGATCATCAAGTGGTCTCACCGTCACAACATTGTTTAGGAGTTGAGTTGGTTGGGGGGAGTTTTGAATCCTATTGGTACTCCTTTTTGGTTAAGGAGAAGGTTTTGTACCTTTGTGTTGCTGCTTTATATTCATTTGCTTTTATCAAAGCGAGACTATAGTTTGAATAAAAAAACGAGATTCTTGAAGGCAAAAAGATCATTACTCGACACTGTTTATGTAGCAAAATCCCAAAAGCCTTGTCTGAGCACATTGGCATGTAAAAGAGTATCAAATATTGGATGTTACAACCTGACAAGTACGACCCAAAATCATCGCATTTGCACTAATGTGATCGAATCCTTTATTAGAAATGATATCTGAAGATGTCGGAGCATCGCAAAAGCGTTAAACAAACTTGACAATGTAATAAAAAAGGGAGAGAGAAGCGAGATGTGTTTCCACTTGCAGAATGTTGCCTTTAGTGATGATGATCTTGAACATAACGAAGGCCACAGTACTTGCAGATGGCAGGCTCGTGTAGGTCGAGGCAAATGAACTCAATTGGATGACCTAGTGCTGTATTGGTGTCTGCAAGTTAATACCAAAGTCGATTTATATGTATATATATATCAGTCTCAAGTTGAGTAAAAATCAAAAAGAGTCACAGATGAGAAGAGGAGGAGACAAACCTCCTTCACAAGCAGCAGTCCTTCCAACAACCTTGATAGGTGGAACCTCACTGATCAGTTCCATTGGTGACTTCTTGCTTCTATCCTGTTTCAGATTAAGTTCCTTACCCACGTTATGCAATATTACCAACAAAGTAGCAAAGGACAACATAAAAAAAATTGTGGAACGCAAGCCTAGTGACTAACCAGAACGAACCAATGCTATAGAGCCGAAGTAATGTGTTCAATTGTTTAAAATTCTCATCAAACAACTAAAACTCTCTACATTGAATCAATTCTTTTTCTTCATGAAAGCAGAGATGCTGACTGTAACGAGGAACAGTATTTGATGAACTATATCTCGTCGTAACAAACCTCAATGACACGGATGCAACAAAAAAAAGAAAGATGTTATGCTTCTTCACACAGACGAAACTGTCGACTAACAAACATAGAGGTAGTTACAAACTAACAATGGGAGATTTTCTACCTCACAGACACACACATTCATCAGTGAAAAGAACTGATTCCAATGCGAATAGTGCAAATGTCATGCAATCTCGTTGACTTTATCCTTCCCACGACTTTGGGGGATGCAGAGAATCAAAACGCAACAGCATGTAAGACCACAAAATCATTTCACACAGAATGATAAACCATCAAAGATAATCATGTCATTTTCATCATCCCTAGAATTTTTCTACTCATATCAAAAGCTTATCTCAATCCCCCAATGTCCTCTAAGCACATTCTAACAAATAGATTGCCTCATAATTTCTGATCTAACTTCGAAAAAAACTTAATCTATAGTTAGCCTGTGATTTCCAAAATCGAATCCATAAAAATGTCAAATCGAGATCTAACTATAAGGGAGATCATCATCGATAATCAGGCATTTACGCAAATTAGGCAGTTAGGGCGAGAAAGAAGATCTAAAGTTACCTGCATCCATTTGGCGGTATGATTTCCGACTAAATCGTCTGTTGGAATGCCGAGCTGTGTGGTAGCCGCCGCCACACTAAAGTTTCTCCTCGAAGATGGAAGAATCTGAGATCGGATGAGAGCTTTCAGGAGATTCGATGCCATTTTTTGCTCCTTCAACACCCAACAAACAAATAATAATCCTGAAGCGAAAAATAGAGAGCGAGCGAGAAAGAGAGAGTTGTTTGTAAGGCTAAACCAGCATTTAACTTGGGTTTTAATTTTAAACGATAGCCCATATTGCTTACAATGGCCCATTTCTAATTTCAAGAGGCCCAACAATATTAAGGAGGAAGGAAATGGTATTTTTAAAATTATTTTTTTTGTTAGCCGCCCATTTACTTTAGATCAAATGGTGACCAGTCGAGTCGATTCTTTGAGGAGAAATTCCGTCTAGTCGAGTTTGATCTATATGGGAAGTATTTTTAACAAGTTATATGGTCAAATGTGCCTTAGCAAGAGTTTATGCTCTTGTATCCGCTCAAACTATACGGGTTTAACTAGAGATAATTGGCCAATACACCCAAAATGGGGGTTTATATTAGTCACTTACCCATGATGGGACTGATTTATTTTGTCTGACCAAATTGCCCTTCTTTCTCTCTCTCCTTCCTTTCTGCATTTACATGTGGGTGTGTCAGTTTTTTTTTTTTTTTCGTTATCAATGCTCTTCTCTCCTCTTATCATTTTCAAAATGAATTACATGCAAAATAAATATGTTAAATATTTTTGAGTTCACTTTGATTCTTAAATAATAATTTTAAATATGTTATTAGAGAAGTAAATACAATTAAATTTTAAATTTCCTTATTTTTTTCATAAGTGGCTTTGAATCCTCAATTTTTTGATGATATCAATTTTGTGGGTTTTAGATTCGACATCGTATTAGCGGTTAACAAATATTGTAGACGTTAACAAAAGTGTTAGTTGTTAACAATTATTTTTACGCTTCGCATTAATAAATGTGTTCGTTGTTAACAAATATTGTAAACGTTAACAAAAGTGTTAACTGTTAACAATTATTTTTACGCTTCGCGGTAATAAATGTGTTGGCTGTTAACAAATATTGTAGACGTTAACTTATATGTTAACAAATGTTTTTACGCTTCGTGTTAATGAGATGAAAGAGAAAGGGCATTCTCGGCATTTCCTTGCCAAATGGTTGTGTCAGTGTCTTTCATGTCCAATCAATGGTATTTTGCTAATTTGAGCTTCAAATATGGGTAATTCACTAAATCACTCGTTTAATTATGGGTTACCGGGTTAATTATTTGGCTAATTACCAGTCAAAACAAAATAACAAAAAATTCAAATTCATATACTAGTACAGTAATACTACAACACAAAAGGGTTTTTATTCATCATACTGAAAGTGAAATATATGGGAGAAACCTTAAAACTTACAAAACAACAACAACATAATTTTTAATTAACTCATTTCCAACTCTAAAAACGTCTCTCAAATCCATCACTCACGAGCCACCACAATGAGCTGTTTGCCAACGTTCTTACCATGAAAGAGTCCGATCAAAGCAGAAGGTCCCTTCTCCAGTCCTTCAGCTACATCCTCGACGTAAGTGATCTTCCCTTCTCTGATATAAGGAAGCACTAACTCCAGAAAGTTGGAGTATTTGTGATAGTAGTCAGAGACCACGAAACCTTGAAGCCGAATCCTCTTGTAAATGACTGTTGATAGGTTGCGTACACCTTCCTGCTCCTCCAGGTTGTACTGTGAGATCATTCCACACACGGCGATACGGCCGTTTAGCTTCATGTTTAGGAGCACTGCGTCTAGCATTTTGCCTCCTACGTTTTCAAAGTATATGTCTATCCCTTCCGGGAAACACCTGGAGGTGAGAAAAAACACATGGAGTCAAATCTATGATGTCCCATGAAGCTTATTATATATCGGTATGAAAACAAGTATTTCTACTACTGACCTTTTCAGGGCAGCGTTAAGGTCTTTCTCTTCTTTGTAATTGAATGCTTCATCAAACCCAAACTTGTTCTTGAGAAGATCAACCTAAACATTGATAGCAAGACATGACATGGAAGAAAGACACCAAAGTATGTGTTAGCATTGGATCAACAGCAAGAGTACAAGTAAAGTGTGTTTACCTTTTCATTACTGCCGGCACTTCCAACGACATAACATCCCATAATCTTTGCAAGTTGTCCAACGAGCTGACCAACTGCACCAGATGCAGCTGACACGAAGACAGTCTCTCCTTTCTTAGGAGTACAGATTTCATAAAATCCAGAGTACGCAGTCATCCCAGCCATACCTGTCAGAAACAGAGAAATGCTTCCTAAGACCACTAGCAAAAATACTGAAACTTGTAGACTTCTAAACAATCTTATTCAACATGATTGGGAGATTGTGTCATAACCCCAAGACCAGACCATAATGACCATTGCATCATGCTAAAAATCTTAGAGAGAAAGCACATCAAGCATTATATTATATCACAAAACTTTCCCAGTTCTCACTATAAGTTCACATTTTTCTCTGAAATAACAAAGTGAAAACTGCATGCATGATCAAAAACAGAAAGACATACCGAGAAGACCAGTGTAGTAGGACAAGGGAACATCAGTGTGTAGGATCTTGAAACAGGAAGAAGTTGGATTAATAACACTGTACTCCTCCCATCCAACAATACCCCAAAGTAAGTCTCCTTTTTTGTAATCAGGGTGTCCAGAATCTATCACTCTAGACACTCCATACCCATATATTGGCTGCAAAACAACACAGTGAACATGGAGTTAATAAATTATTATTATCTGAATTTGAAAATAATTAACAAATATACCACTGCTTCAACAATCAACAGTGAAACTGCTAACACTAATTAAACGTACTCACTAAGCATGATTAATCGTGTTACTCCTAATCAAAATTTTCCAACATAGATTCTACCTGGCCAGGGGTGTACGGTAGAGCGAGAGCGGCAGTGGATGGATCAGGCTTGCTCATGCGAATGCGCATGTAAGGATCGCAAGACAAGAAGAGATTCTTCAACAGAACCTTGTTAGATCCCGCGGGAACACTTAGATCCACGGTGGCATCGTTGAAGATGAGGTCTGATTCCTTGGGGAAACCGGTTACGTAGTCTCTCAATATGACTTGCTTGTTGTTCACCATCTTTACCTTCTGATTAGTATGTGATTTCTCGTTTCTTCTTCTTCTTTTTTTTGTTGTTTATTATTGTTAGTAACGTCCATGACGCGCGTCTGCATTTATAGGGGCATTGTGTAAGGTGTGATCGTAGCCACAAGCTCTGAAAAATAGATAAAAGAGGAGGTTCTCGTATTATTATTTTTAATGTTTATGACGTTATATTTATGTTTTGTGTGATAATCAGTGACGTTAAAGTGTTTCATACAATTTTATTTTCACACTACTTTCACATTGTTTTCAGCTACTTTTTTTGGTTTTATTGCAATAGTTCAGTTTCCTTTCACATTTCATAATTTTTTTTGTCGGCGAGTATTTATTTGAAAAGCAAATTTACTGAACAAAAAATACTTATCGCAAATAATATTTATTGAATAATATAGAAAAGCTCGAAAATGGAAGATAAATATTTTTCTGAATGAGTGTTTTTTTCTTACATTTTAGAAAACACACTAAGAATAAATTACACAAAGTAACTATAATAATATTAATTAAGCCACATAAAATAAATATTATGCTATAAAAACATCTCCTAACATTAAACAACATTCAATTAATTAAAAAATATTCAATTAGTTTATAAAATTTGTTTAATTAATTTAAAGGATGATGATCTAGTGCAGCAATTCAGATACACAAATTCACTAGATCTTCATGGTCATCTAATATAATTAAATTTGATGAAAATGTGTAGTAATCTCCTCTCCAAAGAAGAAAGAAGCTTGATTAAGCAAATATGATTAAACAGCATCAATTACACAATTCCTTGAACCCTACTGTTCAGCTTTAGATATCCAAAACAGCTTGCTTTTATTCAAAAGAGACAGAAACAAAACAAACAAATCACTCACTCAGAGCATTAACCAAAGCTCACATTCTTACTGGGTCTTGGTGGGAACCCATGGTTGGTACCGAGTCCAGTTCTTTTGCCCCGGGTTCAATGTATGTCCTTTAGAATGGTAAATGTATGCATCACCTTCTCCAGAGAAGTTCTCCCTATGCTCAATCCCATACCTTTTTGGTTTCTGACTCAATAGCTTCAAACACACAGAGAGAGAGAGAGACATAAGATTTTTCTTTTAAGTTAGGAAGTCACTTATTAACTAACTATAGTATATTTGAAATTGGTTTTATTAATTACCTCATCACCAGTGTGATCAGTGATGAAATGAAGCCATCCGTGCCATTCTGCTGGCACTTGAGATGCGTTGTAACGATCCTTCGATGCATACTCTACCCACCTGTGTCTACCTGTTAGCAAGTGACTCAAATGTTTAAATGTAAAGAAAGCGAGCTGACTAAACATTCTATAGAGATTTATAGTTTCAATCACTATATTTTTACCATATAACATTATGCAATCTAGCAGATAAAAAACATTGGTTCGATAAATAGTTCCAGGGTTAAACCAAATGCTACATTACAGAGTAGGCAAAAGAGACATTTGTAGTATATAATATAAAGTTTATTAGACGAGAAGAGATGAAATAGATAGTAACTGGTAATATGAATCCTACAGTGATAATAACCAAAAGAAGAGCGTACCGCACTGAGTATCGCCAAGCTTCTGGTAGTATTTGTTACCGAACTTGTCGACACCAATAAGCGTTGCTCCTATGTTGTGTATTTTGGTTTGCCTTTAAATGTTCAAACAAGAGACATAAGAATGTTTGTTCACAGACCAAAGTGCCACATATGATAAAACTACAAAGACTTTTTGCCTATACATAAACTAAGCACTAAATATCAAAGATAGATATACTTACAAGAGGTTCCCATCTGGCAGGCATCTCCTGTAATAAGGGGAAACGAACCAATTAGAGAATCTCAAATGCATTTCGAACCAATTCAGGATCTAACAAATGGAATCAAAGGAGATCACAGAGTAAAAACTAAAGCAACAAAGAGGACGAGAGGAAAAATACTAACAGGAAGCCTTCTTCACGGATCATCCTGAGGAAACCTCCGAGACCTTTCTCTCTAATCGCTTCCAACGCACTCTTCGCCACCGTCAATGCCATCGCGTCTCCTCTCTCTCTCGATGTCGGAAACTCGAGACAACAAGCGAAAGATACGATAGACAATTGACGAAAACGCAACGTTTCGATCTGTGTGTTACATTTTTCGCATGGATTCTAATGTTTCATGGGCCACTACTATACTTGCTCTCTATTTCCTGAATAATAAATTTTTTTAATGGGCCCAAAATAAAATAAAATAACTGAAGCATTTTGTAACAATCATTTTTTGTTGGTAGTTACAATATTCAAATCTTATAGATTATAGAGGTCTGGATTGTATCTCTGCACTGGTGATGGAATCCAAATTTATGGAAATTTTATTTTGAGAAACATATCATTGCAACACTACAAAAATTTTAAATCATAAAATATCATACCAAAGAGGAATGTCAAAATAAAATAAAATCATACCTAAATAAAATAAAATAAAATCATACCTAAATAAAATAAAATAAAATCATACCAAAGAGGGAAGTCAAAAAAAGAATAAAATCATACCAAAGAAGGATGTATGTACCAAGGGTTAGAAGATGCATATACACCTACTTTTCTTCAAAAAAAAAACTAATGTCAATTTTAGTTAATTTAAGCACTAATCTAAATTATGCATCTATTACATTTTTGAGGTTGTGCGTATGCCCTCGATATTTTAGGTGAACATATCCTTGCAACACTACAATTTTTTTAAATCATACCAAAGAGGGATATTAAAAAATATCATACCAAAGAGGAATGTCAAAATAAAATAAAATCATACCTAAATCAAATAAAAAAAATCATACCAAAGAGGAAAGTAAAAAAAAAAATCATACCAAAGAAGGATGTATGTACCAAGGGTTAGAAGATGCATATACACCTAATTTTCTTCAAAAAAACTAATGTCAATTTTAGTTAATTTAAGCACTAATCTTATTTATGCATCTATTACATTTTTGAGGTTGTGCATATGCCCTCGATATTTTAGGTGATTCAATCAATTAATTAAAAATAGATAAACAAAACGTAAAATATGAAAAAATTAAACATATAACATTTTTTTTTTTGAAAAACAACCAAATTTCAAATTTACTTATGTGTTTCAAGCTTTTCACTAACAAACTCACAAACATGACAAGAAATATCATAGTATACGCATTTTAAAATAGTAAGTTAATATAAAGAGAAAAATACTATAACTAATAAAAAAAATTATTATATACAAAAACTATGAATGAATGCCACATAATGTTTAAGTAGTCTAAATAATTTATTATATTTTATCAAATAAGCAATATAAAGAAGTATATTTTTGCTTTTTGTGCCAGCAAAGATGCATAAATATTGTATCCATATACAGTACTATTTATTGACTTATTTAGTTATTTTACATGAATACATTGTATTTTAGCATAAACTTTCTTATAATCCATGTTAATATTTTGAATGCTACATATATAAATATAAAAAAAAAACAGATAATCCATAAAAAAAAATTAGAAATAATGTATTCATATATATTATCCTTTATTGTCTTATTTAGTTATTTTACATGAATGCATTGTATTTTATTGAACAATATCTTTTATGATTCCATGTAAATATTTTGAATTGCACATCTATAAATATATAAAAAATATTACAAAATAATAAGAAAAAAATATATATATTACAAATTTGTTTTCCTTCATATTTCTCCTCACTTAAAGCTCTTTGCATACATCTCTTAGCCTCATATTCAATCTCGTGTGGAGTTTATCTTTTTGTTTTGTTTTGCGCATCTTCCCGGCCATGGCTGCTGAGAAGTTACGGGACTTGAGCAAGCCTATGGACGTTGCCTTACTCGATGCCACTGTTGAGACCTTTTACGCTACAAGATCTAAGGAAGAAGTATGTCTATTGTTTATATGGCTCTCCAACGAAACTGTTATGCGATATTTTACTTGTTCTTTTTACAACTACTTGTGACTTGTGTTAGATAAAACAAAAATGTTCTTGACAATCATCTGATGCTTTGGTGAAGTGTATTTATTTTTCCTTTACTTGGGTTAAAATCGAAGTGGTTGCAACAGTGCGTTAATTTTCCAAAACAAAAAAAATAATGATCAAACATTTTTCAGAGAACTGCTGCGGAAAATATCTTACGGGATTTGAAAGATAATCATGATACTTGGCTTCAAGTGCCTCACATTCTGCAGAATACTAGGAGTACGCATACCAAGTATTTTGCCCTTCAAGTAAGTTAGTTTGCCTATGTATATCCAAGATTTACAAAAGTTGTTTTTGAGGGACTTGCTTGCTAATTGCTACAAGGAAAAGTTCTTATGGATTCCATTTTTCAGGTTCTAGAAGGTGTTATCAAATATAGGTGGAATGCATTGCATGTTGAACAACGTGATGGAATGAAAAATTACATCTCTGAAGTCATTGTGCAGGTACATATACAAAATCACATTAGTCTTTTATTTTCAGTTTAGAATATAAGATGCTAGGCTACGTAACGGAGTTGTTTTGATTATGAATTTACTATGTAGCTTTCAAGTAATGAAGCATCTTTCAGATCGGAAAGGCTTTATGTCAACAAGTTAAATGTCATTTTGGTGCAGGTATCTTCAGGGTTTCCTGCTAAAAGTTGTAATGTTATTTGGTCATTTGCCTTGTTTCTTGTTATGCATTAGAATCTGTTTATTTTTGATGCATATATACAGATCTTGAAACATGAATGGCCTGCAAACTGGAGAAGCTTTATCCCTGATCTAGTTATTGCTGCTAAAACAAGTGAATCTATCTGTGAGAATTGCATGGTTATTTTGAAAGTAAGTATTTCTAGTTAGTGAATTTTGCATTAACTACGTTTGTGATATATTTTTAAATAACATTCCTTCTTTCGATAGCTCCTAAGTGAAGAGATCTTTAATTTCTCAAGAGGAGAGATGATTCAGAAAAAAATAAATGATTTGAAAGCGTCTCTAAATAGGCAAGTTTATTTGAATAAAAGTATAAATCAAGAACATGAACCATATTCAAATAGCTTTGATACTCTACTGAGTTAATCTACTTTCTTATGTGCAGGGAGTTTAAACTCATTCACGAGTTATGCCTATATGTTCTCTCAGCTTCCCAAAGACCAGAACTTATACGTGCAACGCTATCTGCATTACATGCCTATCTTTCTTGGATTCCGTGTCCCTATATTTTTAAGTCACCTTTGGTAATATATTTGAAATATAAGTGGAATGAGAATGGTTTAACAAGTCTCACAATGAAGATAGACTTGATAATTGTTACTGAACTTGTTACTCGCAGCTGGAAACCCTCCTCGAGTTCTTCCATGTGCCGGAATATAGGAATCTCACTCTTCAATGTCTGTCAAAGGTATGCCAACTTATATCCCGGTCCAGGTTTTGCTGGTGTCTTTATTTTATCGTCATATGTAATGAGTTATGTTCTTCTGGCAGGTTGCAGCTCTTGATTTTGGAGAGTCCTACAAGAAACAATATGTCCAAATATACATGGTTTTTATGGAACATTTGCATGTAATGCTACTTATTATCATTGTGTTTTATTCATTAATGTTTCAACTATATAGTTTCATTTTTTTTGTGTTTTGTTCTAATTTGACATTAATGGTTTCCTATATTGATGTCCTTACTTTGTTTTCATGTCTACAGGAAATACTTCCTTATAATGTTAATATCCCAGAGGCATATTCAGCTGGAAGTGATGAAGAAAAGGCAAGTCTTTTACGTTCAAATATTTTTAATTTACCCATAACATTTTGAGATAATGCATATGACTGTATATATCTTCTTTATCTCTAGGCTTTTATACAAAACTTGGCACTGTTTTTCACTTCGTTTTACAAGGTAATTTTCTTTCTTTTTAAAACCAAAAGGAGGAGGGTTTTGCATTTTGATTTTTTTTTCTAGTGTTCTCTTACTTTCATATTTTTATGCATTTCAAACATAATATGGTTTTTAATGTTCTTCTTGTTGCAGTTACATATAAATATTTTAGAATCTACACCCGAAACTATTGACTTCCTACTTGCTGGTCTGGAATATCTCATTAGCATATCATATGTTGATGACACTGAAGTGTTCAAGGTATGTAGGAGACTTCCCTTGTTACTAACACTGTTTCCGTTGATGCCTTTTTAGGTCTCAGATTTTGCTTGCTTATGAGTGAACAGGTTTGTTTGGACTACTGGCATTCACTAGTTTTGGAGTTGTCTACGGCAAGTGAACGAGTAGGTCACCCCTGCACTAACTCCAAGCCTCTTTGGTTGCAATATATCTTCTTTATATTCTCTTAGTCTTGTATATTGTGTTGTTTATAATTTTTTTCTTGATTTGCCTATTGTCAGATGGTTTTCCTTCCTGCTATCATTGATAGCATCGAACCTGAAATCACAACACCAAAAATACTTTACTCTGATCAAATATCAAAATTAAGGGGGCTCATGATTACTCGCATGGCTAAGCCCGAAGAAGTGCTAATTGTTGAAGATGAAAATGGGAACATTGTCCGTGAGACTATGAAAGATAGTGATGTTCTTATCCAGTATAAGGTAAAAACTTTCTATATCTACTATCTTCTGTTATATAAGATAAAATTATATAACAAAGTTATACTAAATAAACTCGATTTAACAGTCCAGTTATTTCATATTTTACACTGTTGTCAGATAATGCAAGAGACATTGATCTACCTCACACACTTTGATCATGATGATACCGAAAGACAGGTACTTACTATATATGAGGGGTGTAAGATTGTCCTTATTATTTAGAATGATTTGAAGGCTTAGCTGAACTTGTTGTATTGATGTCAACATATTTTTTTGGTTCCTGCAAAGATGTTGAATAATCTAAGAGAACAGATAAACAAAAAAGAATGGACATGGAATAATCTGAACACTTTGTGCTGGGCTATTGGGTCTATTTCTGGTTCCATGGACGAAGAAAAAGTAAGATTTCCTCTCTCACTATTATCTACTTGCGCATCTTCAATGAACAAAAGTTGAGGATGTAGTTTGTAATGCAATAGCAAATACTTTTTTGGCTCTAGGTATTTGGTAACATTTTTCTAATGTCATTAGTCTTCTTTATTGGCCTTCCATTTATGGTCTTATTATTATGTTTCCACCAAAGTGTTGTTAGTTTTATGACATTTATTGAATCATTTGAACTACATGTCTTTATTTCAGGAAAAGGGATTTGTAATGAGAGTTATTCGTGCTTTATTAAGTTTTTGTGGAATCATGAAGGGAGCAGACAATAAAGCTGTTATCGCCAGCAACATGATGTGAGTTTGTCTATACACTATAAATACTAATATTGAAACCTATCAAATTATTTATGGCACTAACTTAGTATGTGAGTTTCTTACTATAAATGGGTCACTTGTTCCCTTCTACGTACCACGATAAACTTAAACTTGTTTCTTTGATCAAATTTTCTTGAGAATTTTATCTTTGTCTTCTTGCACATTCGTTTCAGGTATGTTTTTGGACAATATTCAAGATTCTTAAATGGCGATTGGGAGTATTTAACGGTGGTTGTTAAGAAGTTGTTTGACTTCATGCGTGAGACTCATCCTGGTGTTAAGGTAATTATTGGCCGAATCTTTCATAATGAAGTTGGACTGATTGAGAGCTTGAATTTTAATACCATCAGTATACCAACAATGATTACATGTTAATATTGGTAATAAGTTATTTTTATTTCCTTGTTTTCTAGTTTATCTAACAATATGTCCAAACTAATATTTTTCTTCCAGGACATGGCTTGTGATACATTCTTAAAGATTGCTCAGAAATGCAAGTGCATGTTTCTTGTTGCTCAAGTATGTACTTGTTAGTTTATAATGCACATGTTTAACTCTTTACTTTATCATCTATACTGAGGTCATATGTATTCGTTTAGGCTGGACAAAAGGAGCCATTTGTATCTGAACTTCTAGCAAGTCTTACTACAATCATTGGAGATCTTGAGCCTCATCAGATTCACACTTTTTATGAATCTGTATGTATTCTTAGTCCTTTCTCGCTAATGTTGATATGAAGCTATTTATTGCTATGATATCACTCTTGGTATGTCTATCTTCAGGTTGCTTGTATAATCCAGGCTGAATCAGATCCTCAGAAGATGGGTGAATACATTGAAAGGTTGATGGCCCTCCCTAATCAGGTTTGTTAATAAGCAATAAAACACTTCTCAGATTTTGTTTTCTATAGCTTACTAAAAACATTTGTTCTTCATATGATGTAGAAATGGGCAGAGATCATAGGACAAGCACATCAGAATGCAGATTCACTCAAAGAACCTGATATGATACGTATTGTGCTTCATATCTTCCAGACAAATACAAGAGTTGCAACCTCACTAGGAACACACTTCATATCTCAAATCTCATTAATCTTCTTGGATATGCTGAATATTTACAAGTAAGTTTTTATAATACTTATTCAAATGATTAGATTCTTCTTACAACTTTCCTATCCTGCACCAGAATGTACAGTGAACTCGTGTCAAGCAACAGTGCTGACAGTGGCATGTATGCTTCGAAGATATATGTTGTTAAGCTTCTAAGGTAGGGCGGCTTTTTATACCAAATAAAAAAATAACAGGTCTTGATGATGCCTTATTATTGTACCACAAAATTTGATAGTATTAAATCTATTATGCTTGATGAAACAGGTCTGTTAAGAGAGAAATACTGAACCTGACAAAAACGTTTCTCGACAAAGATGTAAACAAGCCACACATTGGAAAACAGTTTGTTCCATCAATTATGAATGTAGTACTTGCTGACTATGCAAGCAATGTTCCTGATGCAAGGGAATCAGAAGTTTTATCACTCTTTGTGACAATAATACACCAGTATGTGTTCTTGTCTCTGCTGATGCATGATTTATCAAAAGAGAAGTTGTACGAAAAAATGTAACATGGAAATGTGTGCTGTGTAGGTACAAGGTTGCAATGCAAGATGATGTCCCTCGCATTTTTGAATTTGTTTTCCCTTGCACTTTAGAGGTAACAGATTCTATGGTCCATGAGAATATTATTTTCTACTATTAATGGAAGTAGAGATGGGGTAAAATATATAAAGAGAGTCAACTTTTTCATCTTTTATATATATACAGATGATCACTAAGAATTTTGAAGATTATCCCGATCATCGGCTCAAGTTTTTCTCGTTACTTCGTGCCATTGCTACATATTGTTTTGATGCATTGCTACGGATGTCACGTGAGGTTGGTGATTCTAGTCTTTACATGGTCGCAGTGAGCTACCATCTCTTTCTTTTATCAATTGGTCACTAGTAAGCTATTTTTTTTTATGCTTCTCATCAGCAACTGAAGCTAGTGATGGATTCAGTTATCTGGGCGTTTAGGCATACCGAAAGAAACATCACTGAAACTGGGCTTAAGCTCTTACTGGTGTTGCTGAAAAAGTTTAAGGTTTCAAAACATAACTATTTCACTTTTGGCATCCAATGATTCTAGTAATTATATGCATGATACGTTTCCTCTCTGATTGTGACAGAAATCTGACTTCTCTAACCAATTCTACCGGACATACTTTATGCAAATTGAGCAAGAAATTCTTGCCGTAATGACCGATACCTTTCACAAGCCAGCGTTCGAGTTGCATGTGTTGGTGCTACAACATCTATTTTCACTGGTAAAATTATATATACACACATTTAAAAATATATCATTTGCTAGTTTATGTGGATCTTGAGGGAGGTCCATTATAAAACATTTCAGGTGGAGAGCGGTCTTTTAACAGAACCTTTGTGGGATGCTTCAGCGATACCTCATCAGTATCCAAATAATATCGCATTTGTTTGTGATTACACCATCAAACTTTTAAGCTCATCGTTCCCCTACATAAGTGTATCAGAGGTGACACAATTTGTGCAAGGACTTTATGAGTCCAGAAGTCACCCTGTTACATTTAAGAATAACATACGAGACTTCCTTATAAGGTCCAAAGAACTTTCTATATAGGTAATATATACTAGTTCAACTACAAAGATTGGTGTCTGTTCTATATAAACCATAATTTCTTTAAACTTAGTCGAATGTGTTTTTTTCTCTTGTTCAGGATAAGGAAGACTTGTATGATAGATGAATAAGCTGTTGCTAAGTAGGAAAGAGAGAGACAACAAATATTTATGGATACTGGCCTTATTGCTCCCAAAGAGATTATGAACGAGATGACTGATGCATAAAATTATTTCTTTTTATAGCAAAGTCTTTAAACAATGTTTCTTTGTAGAGTTTCGTAATATTGAGCATAGAAGTGTTGGATTTATTTATTCTGTTAGCTTGGATGATTTGGTTTACGAGCATCAATGAAATATTTTCAAGAGCTCAAACGATAATCAAAATTTCTTAATAAGTAAAAAAAATATGTAATAGATAAAGTTATATAGGTTAACTAGGTACATGCAATATGTTGTTATGAATACATTAATTAGAAAGCTTCACATTAACCATGTAAGGTTTCACATGCATAGCCTTGTTTAATATCTTAAAAATATCATTACCCCAGAATCTTTCTCACAATACAAATTTTATGAACGCACAATATTTATTTTTTATACTACTCAAATAGTTAATGAAATATATATTTTACAAGTATATAATCAACTAATTAACAATAATTATCTATAGTTACTTGGTTTAACCTATTTTATATCATATTTGTTTCATAAAATTTTATATTTATCTATTATTTTAATTTCATTCTTTTGCCATTTTTTTTACATTTTTTATATTAGTAGTTATCAATTATGAATTTAGAATTACATCTACATTTTATATATTTGAATTAACATATATAAATGATCAAAATATTCACAACCACCTATATAATGCTATATTAAATTTTTAGTATTAATCATTTCTTTTTTTACATTTGTTATATTAGTTTACCAATTATGAATTTACAGTTACATCTACATTTTATAATTTGAATTAACATATATAAATGATCAAAATATTCACAACCACCTATATAATGTTATATTAAATTTTTAGTATTAATGTTGTCTATTCGCTAAAATTAATATATATATATATATATATATATAAAACAATTTGGATATATCTTTGTTGGTAGATTAATAACATTTTATAAACATTAGTAAAAATTTAAAATGTTTGGTTTGGCCTACTAAATATACTATATAGTCACAGATTTATTCTTGGATTCACCTCCTAGGATGAACCTCTAAGTTCACCAACCAATATTATTGAGTTATTTAATATTTGATTTTATAAAAGGAAAATAATTTTTTTAAACTTATATTATGTTTTTGAAATAAAAAGGAAAAAATAAATAAAAAAGTAATAGTAATTGTAAAAACAAATATATATATTTTTAACACGTCATCATAAGACTAAACCCTAAACTCTTGAGTAAACTTTAAATCCTAAATACTAAATATTAAAAATATTAAAATCTTAATCCTAACCCTTAAATTCTGAATAAAAAAATACTAAATACTAAATACTAAAAATACTAATTACCATTAATCATAACCTCTAAACCCTTGGAAAACTAAATAAAAATAGTAATAGTTTCTAAACAAAAATTAAAATATTTTTAACACCGTCAATAAGACACTAAACCCTAAATACTAAACAATAAATCTAAACATTATTAAACCTATAGGATAAATCATAAACCATAGGGTTTAAAATTTATCCAAGGATTTAGGGGAAAGATTAAGGGTGTAGTGTTTTTATCTAGTGTTTAGGATTTATCCAAGAATTTATGATTTACCCAAAGTTTAGGGACTAGAATTTAGTGTATAGTGTTTTTTCATAATGTTAAAAATATTAAAATTATTTTTTTTACAACTACTAATATTTTTGTTTATCTTTTAAAACATAATATAAGTTGGAAATATTTTGTTGTAAAAAAAGAAAAGATATTGAATATGAAATAAGATAATACTACTAATTGGTGAACTTAAAGGTTCATCTTAAGGGGTGAATCCAAGAAACTCATATTCACATGTAATATCATTAGGTTAATAGCTTAGTTCAAATCAACATTGCTAAATGTTCTCTTACTCGGATTAGTATCATGTTGACAAAAAAGAAAGAGAAAAGAAAAAAACCTGTCTTAGTCGGTTTGATTTTTGTTAACCGAGTTATTGAATTGGAGAGATCAAACCAAACCAAGCCGAATCTAAAAGACAACTGGAAGAATCCCTCGTAACGAAAACGCTACCTTCCTCTCTCTTCTCTTCCCTTCCCTTCCCTTTCTCGGAAAAAGATCTTCGTCTTCGTGTTCCTCGAAATCAATCGTCTCTTCGTTAAATCATCTCTGTTTCCTCCAGCTTCAATCGGAACAAATAGAAAGTAAAATTAGGGATCAGAGAGCTTTTGGGGGTTGACATGGGTCAAACATTTCGCAAGCTTTTCGATACTTTCTTCGGCAATCAGGAGATGCGGGTAACTCTCTCTTCTTCTCTTATTCTCCTCTTCAATTTTTTGTTACGATCGTTTATTAGTTTTTTCTTTTTGTAATCCGGATTTTTGGTTTAATTGTGTTGATGATCTTGCTCAAATCTTATTACACCCAGCTTGTTTGTTCCTAACTACTGCAATAATTTTAACTAATCTAAGCTGCTATGATTTTTGTCTTCTTCTTTTTAATTTTGTTGTTGTGGATTTGTTTTGGAGCCTACTCCAGGTCGTTATGCTAGGTCTGGATGCGGCTGGCAAAACAACTATACTCTACAAGCTGCACATTGGTGAAGTTCTGTCTACTGTTCCCACAATCGGTGAGTTAGATTTTGCTTGAAGCAGCAGTTATATTTTGTCTGTTATCTTACAACTAAGCACTCTCTATGTTTGTGCACTTATCTGTCATTTACTGTAGTTTATGATGGCGGATATGTTACTGCTGGTTTTCTGAGGATTTTGAACTTTTTTTCGTAACACAGGTTTCAATGTGGAGAAAGTCCAGTACAAGAATGTGATGTTCACAGTTTGGGATGTTGGTGGCCAAGAAAAGCTTAGGCCCTTGTGGAGGCATTACTTCAATAATACCGATGGTCTTGTATGTCTATAATAGTTATTTCACCTCTCTGTGTGTAGTCAGATGGTTATTTCTTAGAGTCTCTTCTCCTCGTTTCCTTTGGTTCTGATTCTTCAGAAGAGAATTTCCAGACAGATGATTTCCTCATGTTGTTTGGAATATTATCTGATTTTTATTGTTCTATGTGTTTGCAGATATACGTGGTAGACTCCTTGGACCGTGAGAGAATTGGTAAAGCTAAGCAAGAATTTCAGGTTATAGGATAACTTTAAGATAAAACTGTGGTAAAATTAGTCTCTGCCGAGTTTTTAACTCTTGCTAACTGATTTTGTTCAGGAGATCATAAAAGACCCTTTCATGCTCAACAGTGTCATTCTAGTGTTTGCAAACAAACAAGACATGGTATAAAGTTTTCCTTATTTCCTTGTCATTTACTAATATTCAATCCTAACACTGTGTGAATCTCAGAGAGGAGCCATGTCTCCCAGAGAAGTATGTGAAGGGCTTGGCTTATTAGATCTCAAGAACAGGAAATGGCATATACAAGGCACATGTGCTCTTCAAGGAGATGGTCTCTACGAAGGCTTAGACTGGTTATCCTCTACGCTCAAAGAGGTTAGAGCCGCTGGTTTCTCATCGGCTGGCCCCTTGTTTTAAACCTACTTTTGTCTGCAAAACAAAAACAACCAAATCAAAAGCTCATGGTGTCCTCAAGTATCTCCACCATTATATACTTTTGATCCGTAACCAAAGTCTTTCTTCGTGGCCTCTGACATGGTAATATCACCACATCAAACCCTGGGGAAGACTTTTTGTAATGGAAGTGCTTTTTTCTTTTGTCTTTACATGGCTCTTCTGTTGAAAGCCAATGTTTAGTATCAACTATACTCACTCTTTGCATGATATGATATTGGAGCTTCATTGTATACACTGATGAAAAAAAAAGTGTTTAATACGCGAAATTATCGTTAATTGTCCCTTTGGAACTTATATGATGGTGATAATGGAACACATTTGAAAGTTTATTAAACAGAGCTCAGTCATGATTTTAAATTTTTAATAAAGTAGAGAGAAAAATTACGAATAAAGAAAAGGTGGGCCTAAAAAAATAAGAAGCCTTATAACTTACGTTAATGGGCCTTTAATTCGGTAACGTAGCACGCGCTTTTCGGGGAGCGCGTGTTAATAATAGAAACGGCGCGCCTCGCAAATAACCATCCGGAGGAGAGAGAAAGGGAGAGAGAGTCACGGAGAGGAGAGAGGACGCGTCGGAGGTTTCAGAGAGAGAGACTCTAACTGACATAGGTTTTATATAGAGAGACGGTTGCGAAGAAGCTTTTTAAACCTAACCTACAGAAAGAGAGAGAGCGTAAGGTTATTATGAGAGTTTTCCAAATCTGAATGGAAAGCTTAGTCCTCGCCGGATCCGCCGTGAGTCTTCTCTATCACCGCCGTCTTAGCTGCTTTTCAGGTAGATCAAATACCTGATTTTAGAAGAAGTTTGTTTTTGTTTAGAGAATGGTAGACTTTTGAGAATCCTAGAAAAACGGTAGAGAAAGTGTGATCTTGAGAGAAAGGAATGGACGGTGCGGCGGGTTGCACGGTTGGTTCGATTGTGTGGGTGAGGAGGAGGAACGGCTCGTGGTGGCCAGGGAAGATATTGGGACAGGATGATCTTGACTCTACTCATATCACTTCTCCACGATCTGGAACTCCTGTGAAGCTTCTTGGGAGAGAGGATGCAAGTGTGTAAGTCTCTTTCTCTTTTATCTTTATTAATAAAACATTAATAAAATAATCTCAAGTTTGTTTTAGGGATTTGATTACTGAGAGAATGTTTTGTTTATGTTTTAGGGATTGGTATAACTTAGAGAAGTCTAAGAGAGTTAAGCCGTTTCGGTGTGGCGATTTTGATGACTGCATTGAGAAGGTGGAGACTTCGCAAGGGTTGACGATAAGGAAGAGAGAGAAGTATGCTCGTAGAGAAGATGCGATTCTCCATGCTCTTGAGCTTGAAAAGGAGATTCTGAGGAAGGAAGTGAAAGTAGAAACTGGTAGGTCTAGGGGTGAGGGTGACTCTCGTGATGCAAACAAGGAGAGAATGGTTGTGTCTAGGGTTCATGATAATGGGACACGAGAATCAACTGGTGGTATTGGGCGGAACCATGTTGTTGGTGATGTGCACAAAGATAAAGAGGAAGACCAGACGAGATTTGAGGAAGAGGCACAGCCTCGAATGAGAGGGTTGCAGGACTTTGGGCTAAGAACGGCTTCTTCTAAGCGAAAGTTTTCATCCTCTAATGGTCCTGATACTTCCTTTAGGTCTCTGGCTAGAAGCAATTCTTCAGCTTCTTCTAGTGGAGATCATAGCATGGAGAGGTCCGGTTATACTCTCGGTAAGGAAACTTCCTAAGTGTGTGATTCCAAGATGGTTGGACACTATAGACTTCTGGCTCTTTTGAACATAAAAAATTATCTTGCAATCGATTCTGGCTCTGTTGCAGGAAAGGAGAAAACTAGGAATTCGATGGAGGCTAAAAGGACTAAGTATATGTTTGCACCAAATGAATCTAATGATGTTTTAGATCTGCATGAGAGTTTGCTAAACCACAGGGCGGCTATGCATTCCTCCTTTGCTGGTGGGGATTCCCGTTATTCGCTTTCGGAATATGAACCTCCTGATTTTTTGGAAGACATTGAATCTGATTCTTCTGAATCCGAAACTGACTCTTCTGATATGGAGGAGGATACTGATGATGACATTCCCTTGCTGTCAGGTGAAGCTTTTCTGGACGGCTAAAATTTAGTTTCTCATCACATATATACGTTTCTGCTTTTGTGAAACTGGGTATCAGTTGTCTTAACTGATAGTCGTTTTGATGGATTGGACCAAAATTTATACATGTGTGCGTATTGCTATTCCCTAACTAGAATTTGAAATCTTCTCTTTCCAGGAGCTGGCCGTCATTCAGAGCAACGCAATGCTTTTAGACATGTGTCAGCAGAAGATGAAAGCACCAGCAGTGAGGAAGAATTTTATGAGTCATCAATTTCTGGCGACTCTTCTCACCTTTATTCCCAAGATCCTGATAATGAAGCTGATACAGTTTCCAAGTGGCAGCTCAAGGGAAAAAGAAACATGCGGAATCTTCCAAGAAGGTCTTCACGTAAGAGGGAAATGCAGCGTAATCGTCTGGAAGATGGAAGATATTCTGAATATAAGAGAAGGCCATTTGGTCAAAAGCCTATGGGCTATGGATTAGATTCTAGTGGGACAAATGATATGAGCGATGGAACTGATGACACTGATCCCAACGAAAGACAGTTCGGTAACAGAATGATTGGACCAGGTGATGGTGAATATCGGTTCTCAACTATGGCTGCATCCGGATTTAAGAACATATACAGCCATGACATGCTGGACTGGGATGATGATCCTTGGGAAGGCCAGATTGGTAAGAAGAAGCGATGTGAGGAAAAACTTGAAGGTTCAGGCCAGGAGTTCCATGCTTCTCATCGACATTCTAGAAGAAATATATATTCGCCGTTGATGGATGTGGATTTAGAAGTACGAGGAAGCTATCAGAAAGGGCCTGTCCCAATTGTCTCCCTGATGAGTAAGTTAAATAGCAGAGCAATAATTGGGCATCCAGTTGAAGTCGAAGTCTTAGCAGATGGTTCCTCTGTGTCATATGAGTACTTCAGTAATGAAACAACATACCATGACAAACCTTTTCTACTCCCCCATGCTTGGAAGACTGCAAGAAGGAGTAGCTCACGGGTCCCACGGCTGCAACCATTATCACCATCACTGGAAGCCGATGCTGAGGATTATTCTCCGGCAAATCAGGGAAGAAAACCGTTTTTTAAGAAACTTGGTTCGGGAAACTTTAGTAATGATGATAACTCGCTGAGGAAAAGCAATTTAATGCACATTCCAAGACCACCTGGAGAGAGAAAGCAGCAGCAGCAAAAGAAGTTGATGAAGAACACAAACGCAACCCCTAGTCAAAAGACCAGGGCACTATCATCATTCAGCACTGAACAAGCACACAACGGGATAAAGGCGTTGGGGGATGGGACTCACGAGCTATCTAACAGACGAGTATTACCTGGACCACCAACCGTGGCCTGCATACCTGTCAAACTAGTATTTAGCAGATTACTGGAGAAAATAAATAGACCGCCATCAAAGCCACTGTGAAAGCCTTTAATGAGAGAGTAAGAGATCAGTAACCAGAGGTCTGTACTCAAAGCCTAAACGAGATTTACAGGTACAAAACATATAACCATGTCTTGTGTCTTGTTTCCATAGATTGGGAATCACGTTTAGGCATTTAAAATTATGGGGGTGATGGGTCTTTTTGAGCAACCATCAGGCTTTTATTATGTGATGACTCTTGAGAGAAAGTTAGTCGTAGGGAGAACAATTTACGTAGAGAGAGTCTGGTTACTTATTGGTACAGATCACGTGAAGAGTTAGAACAATGATACCACTGGTTCGTTTTGTATATTATTCACTCTCTTGAGAAAGCTTTCTCCTTGATTTAGTTCCAGCTTTAGGTTTATTAGTGTTAAAGTTTCTTTCTGTGTTTTCAATTGCTGAATCTTCTGCTGGCTAATTAATTTACTCAATATTATCAACTCGATTTGGTTCGATCTGAGTTATATGATAAAACCTTTAGACATATTTGACGGGGAAAACAAAAGGACCCTTGAGACATAACAGACCTTGGAAGGTTTTTTCAGGATACTACTACTACTTGACATACAGTTTGTCCACTTAGAAACTTATTACAACATTAAACAAACAACAAGCGGAATGAGAAAGGGAGACTTAAACATGGTGAGTCTTGTCCGAGTCCTCGAGACTTATGGGACGAAACCAAGCAGTCTCCTCCAGCACCGCCGAGTCTTGACGAGCAGCCTCGGCTGCGTCACTCTGATCAGTCGTGGAGGGACCAAAGACTCCGGTCTGTGGATGAGGAGACCAATATTTATCAGAATCTGGCTTTATGACGTCATCAGGAACTGCAGTTGCCTGCAATTCATCCTCCACGTTCTTGTCATAAGCCGAGGAATGACCACTCCTGCAAAATAAAATTTAAATATCGAAATGACCTGCTTAAAATTTTCAAGGAAAAAAAAATAAAAAGTAATTTTCCCGTTGGGTGGGAGATTGTTGATGGGTTGGTGAGACATTGCCACCAGAGAATACCCACAACAAGAAATGAATTCTTATAAATTCTCTGGTCTTTGTATATTTTTTAAAGATAGAAAGTTTTGTTTTTGTGAAAAGGTGAACTGAAAAAGTCTTTAAATAAAATATAAATCAAATTGCAAAAAAAAAAAAATATATAAATCAAGTAATGTCAAATGTGTCATGGTCAGCTTGCTATCAATTTACATATCTACAAAGCTGTCGGTCCGATTCTTATCGAAATCAAGATATTAAATAATCAACCACGTAACGTCTACTACTCACCTAAATAATGTGTTTTTTTCAAAAAAATTGTACTACATCAAACAACTAAAAAAAATGTTCTGAAACTAAAAAAATTGAAAACCGTTAGTTGCTGGTTAGTGTTTTTAAAGTGATTAAGTGAACGATTCAACATCTGCGAGTGAACTACAAAAGGTTATGGATGCCAATTCTTTCAATACCACGTGTCAGTTCCTGAATCGGATTAGCTTTGGTATTATCCATTTAAGCCAAATGGCATATGCCATTTATCGTGCACTGTACAACACTTGTGCTTTCTGTACGAATATTTGTAAAATAAAAAGATTCATTTTAAATAAAGAGTTTGAAGATTTTTTTTAGTACACTTGTACCAAAAACCACCGATTTTTTTTTATCTATTTCATTTTAATTAAGCGAATATGATTGGAAAAGAAGAAAAGGGCAAATCTATGACATTCAAAATAAGTAATATTTTAATTGATCTGAATCCTTTAGCTCGTAAAAAACAATGAGCTTTTTGGATCTAGGATACTGGATTAGTACCTTAAACCAAGGAAAATTAAAATGTTTGAACTAACTAACAAGCCAGTGATAATACACAGAACGAATTAAAACACGAAATCTATACTCTGATATGTTTTCTGACGTAAAAGAAAAGTTTATCTATCAGTTTCACCATAATCAAAACGTTATATTACACACTACACTGTTGTGGAATATAAACATTTCCACATTAAATGTAGTTTCTTTCTCATTTTGCTGTCATAAACTTATATATATCTTTGACTTGGGTTCCAAAAAAAATACGCAGAGAAAGAGAGAGAGTGTGTGTGTTGATACCGTGAAGTGAAGGGAGCAGTGGCGGTGGCGCGTGAGGAAGCGCGTGGGATGACAGCGAGCTTCCTTAGGCTGGTGATCAACTGAAAGCTCTTTGATCTGGTTGCCATACAACTCGTCAGAGATGAGCGGAGAAGAGAGATAATCTTTCTTTCTGTCTTTACTTCTTTTGTTGTTGTAATAGTGAGTATGATGATTTACACCGTTTATTATGTGTGCTATATATGCTTTTGAAAGAGAGTGGCATTAGGAGACAAAGCCCAATCTGATCTACTTCTCTCACCTACCAAACGCTGCCGTTTCCCTTTCCTCTAACGCCGTTACTTGACGAGTGGACGGTGCGTGAATCCAGGCCTTTTCTAGCTTTAGATAGGGCTTGTTGTTGCACACACAAGTAAGAAAATAGGGCCTCTTAACTTTTTCTTTTCTACTACTCATATATACTAGATCACATTTATGTCTATCCGTATCTGATATATATGAGAAAAAATATATTATCTAGTTCTTATTTTCTTCATTAATGAGTTCGTTCGACCATTTCTATCTCGAAGAATATAAATTTGGTTCACAATCTTAAAGTTTGACTTTAGTCTCTAAAACAATTCAGTTTCCAACCCGAATATTGACCAGTTCATCGAATCCGTAGTCATATCTAATAGATAAGAGCCTGTTAACGATGTATACTATATGCTTTCGAAAGAAATGACAGTAATTAGTAGACAAAGCCCAATCTAATCTCACCAAACAAACGCTGCCATTTCACTTTCCTCTAACGCCGTTACTTGACGGATGGCCGGTGCGTGAATCTAGGCATTTTTTCTGGCTTTAAAGCTTACGGCCCGTTAAAGTCTCAGTTCCATTAACCTTCAAAATTTTCCGATTATATGGGCTGCAATATAAGCCTGGCCCATTTAAACAACGTTGCGACACGTGTAGGCGACCACGTTCTTCACGTTCCTTAACACCTTCCTTTCTCACTTAGGAAAATTCTTCAAACTACGAAGAATAACAGATTCAGATCTAAACCTTTGATCCACCGATCTAAACAATGGCTCTCGAATGGGTTGTGCTAGGCTACGCCGCAGCTGCCGAAGCGATCATGATCGTGCTTCTCACGATGCCGGGGCTCGACGGACTCCGCAAGGGACTCGTCGCCGTCACGCGCAACCTCCTCAAACCGTTTCTCTCCATCGTCCCGTTCTGTCTCTTCCTGTTGATGGACATCTACTGGAAGTACGAGACGATGCCTTCGTGCGACGGAGATTCGTGCACGCCGTCGGAGCACCTCCGTCACCAGAAATCGATGATGAAATCGCAGAGAAACGCGATTTTGATTGCGGCCGCGCTTGTGTTTTACTGGATCTTGTTTTCGGTTACTCATCTTGTGGTGAAGATCGAGCAGCTTAACCAGAGGGTTGAGAGGCTCAAGAACAAGGATTGATCCGTCGTCTCAGGTGGATTCTAGTGTAATGCCTTTTCGGTTTTACTGTTTGCTGTTTCAGTGCTTTTGATTTTGTGCGTTTGTTTTCTGGACATTGAATTACTTTTATAAGCTTGTTTGCATTGAGATTGAGTTATAATCGTCTCTTCAGTGACTCATTGGTTTTATTGAAATCAGCATTGGTTGATCCTATGACACACTAAGACATAGCTTAGGCTGCAGTTTTGATAATCAGGTAAATTCATTATTTGTTTAATTGAGCTCGATTGGGTTAGTATGTGATGATTTATTTAGACACGCTATAATTGACAATTGATTCATAACCATTTTTTTACTCGTCCAAGAAGTGGAAAAGGATAGTGATACAAAAACATAACTGAGGTTTTTTTTCTTCTTCATTTACTGATAAGTACAGAGAACGTTTATAATTTGAGAAGATGGTTTGATTAAACATATAAAGATTGTAGTGATAGTGATTTGTGTACCACTAACATAATATTTTAGCATGTAATTTGTATACATGACCCCAAGTGTTTGAGTACTGCATATGTTGATTGACACTTTAATCGTGTCAGATTTGCCTAGCTCATAAATTCGCTATATTCTTTTCTGTTGAAAAACTCGACCATGTGGCCTTACATAAATGCTTGTATTGAAGTTTGCTTATCTATAATGGCCCTAAAGTCAGTGAATCTGTTCAACACATTTCGACACGTATCGTTAGATTCGTTTACACAGAGATTCTCGATGACCTCGTTGATTCTGCCATCTGTTTCCACCCACCACGTTCCATGCATCCAGCCCAGTCTCGGTCCATTACTTTCCAAATATCATAAACCGACCAGAAAAAACTTTATAATATAACGACCGCAAAACCCGAACCCATGTTCATGGGCGTGAACATGTTACATGAGAAACAGAACTCATAGGATAATGTTTTTAATACGAGTTTTCATTCACTACCTATCTTCTCCAAAACTAGATAACAATATGCGTTTAAAAACATTTTGGACATAAAATCTACCAATAAAGTATGCATATAATTGTCAATTAATGTTAATTACTGGCATACTAAACATATACACGTTCATAGTCATAATAATAGTGAATTGTTTTGTATAAAAAGCCATTGTTTCTGCTCTCAAGTCTTTGATCCATTAGAAGAAGCTTTCAAGCAGAATAAAATATGCAATATCAAGAACAGATGGAGTCTCTTATGTTAGGTGAAGAATAAAAGCTTGAAGAAAGAAGATAATAAACTGCAGTTTTGTATTTCTTGATTCTTAAGGTTTTACAATGAGTAGGAATTTGCTTAAATAGAGAAATAGGAAAGCCCTAGAAACTATACAGTTGTCATCATCCTTCTTCTCCTAGTGATCCAAGGGCTGAGAAGGAGTTGTACAACGCAGGACCACTTGGTGATGTCATGATCTGCTTTCCTTGTCTCTTTTCCTCTCTTGCTCTGTTTGTGTCGTTGAACCATATATCCGTTGAGGGAGATTGCTGACATGGCAAGTTCTGAGTTGAAGTGGGCTTGGTTTGCTGGGCTTGGTGCGACTTGAGTTCTTCTGAAATGGGCTTGCTAATACCCCCTCTCAAACTAGGCGTGGGAGGAACGTCAACTCCTAGTTTGAACCGAAGTCTGCAAAAGGAAGCAGTGGGAAGAGATTTGGTAAAAATATCGGCCAATTGAAGCTGAGCCGGGATGTGCTTCACCACCAAAGATCCTAACGCCACTCTCTCCCGTACGTAATGGTAGTCCGTTTCAAAGTGTTTGGTCCTCTTATGAAACGCTGGATTTGCTGTCAGGTAGATAGAAGACAGGTTATCTCCAAACAATTGTGGTGTGACGGGGAGAGATATGCCCAGTTCTCGGAGTAACATACTTATCCAAGCCAACTCAGAAGCGGTTTCCGACAATGATCTGTACTCAGCCTCGGTGGAGCTCTTAGACACGGTAGGCTGTTTCTTAGATGACCAAGAGATGAGGTTTTGACCCAGGAAAGTGCAATAACCACCAGTAGAGCGTCTCGTAGCTTGACAGCCAGCCCAGTCGCTGTCGCTGTAAGCGCGTAAAGTACAGTCAGTGTCTGGAACCAGCATCAGACCCATTGAAGCCGTTCCTTTAACATACCGTAAAATCCTTTTAAGATTGGTGAAATCAGAGATAGAAGGAGCATGCATCTTCTGACACACGTAATTAACCGCAAACTGGATATCCGGCCTGGTTAGGGTCAAATATTGGAGTTTGCCAGCCAATTTCCTGAAGAGCTGAGGGTTGTAAAAGGGTTTATCTTGATCAGGAACTTTGTTGAGTTGCAGTGGCAGAGGGGTAGCACACGGTGAGCAATTCTCCATGCCTGCAACACTAAGAAGATCCACTGCATACTGCTCTTGAGATAAAAACATTCCTGTGTTTTGAGAGACAACCTGAATTCCGAGAAAGTAATGCAGCTTTCCAAGATCTTTCATGCGAAATTTGTTATTCAGCTCTTCAAGAAACTTAGTCATGATCGCAGATTTAGTACCTGTAATCGCCATGTCGTCCACGTACAACAGTAACATGATAATTGTACTGTCTTTGTTGTAGATGAACAAAGAAGGGTCTTTTACGCTGCAGACAAACCCAAACTCTATGAGAAAATCACTGAATTTGTTGAACCAAGCGCGGGGAGATTGTTTCAAACCGTAGAGAGATTTATGCAGATGACAAACATGATCCGGCTTCGTCTTGTCTACAAACCCGGCTGGTTGTTTCATATACACTGTCTCCAATAGATCCCCGTGCAAAAAGGCGTTTTTAACATCCATTTGTTTCACATCCCAACGCATGATTGTTGCCAAATGTAGCACAATACGGACTGTTGCTGTCCTTACCACTGGACTGTATGTCTCGAGATAGTCCACACCCTCTTCTTGGTTATTACCTTGTACTACAAGCCTTGCTCTGTGACTCTTGACTGTTCCATCGGCATTAAGTTTGTCTCTGTAAATCCATTTGTTGCCAAGAACATGCATTTCAGGTTTTCTAGGAACAAGCGACCAAGTCTTGGTTATTCTACAGTTTTCCATCTCTTCTCCCATGGCATTTTTCCATCTTGAGTCTTTGAGAGCAGCAACAACTGTAGTTGGGACAGGATCAGACGCTTTTGCAGCTAACATAGCGTACTTAGGATTGGGTTTTCTGATGCCAGCTTTGGATCTTGTCACCATAGAATGTTGAGATGTTGAAATAGGAGTGATGTTACTGATACCAGCAGAGCTTTGCGTGTTATCTTCACTCCTTGCAGCAAGGTTTAGCGGCTCTGTACTGACTTGTGTTCTTGCATTCTGTAACAGAGGTGGAAAGTCTTCTGCAGAGAACATAGAACTTTCAGTCTGTGATGGTGTAGGAGGCTTACTGATACGCAGTTTGGAGGTTAGAATAGGTGTCTCAGACGCATCAGACTTTTCTGGTGCTGTATCACTTTGCAGAAAGCTTCTTTGCCATGCTAACAGAGACGGTGTTGTTGCTTGATCATGAAGCTTTCTGTAAACTGACTCGAAAGGGAAGCTTAACTCCTCAAAAAGCACATGTCTTGATATGTAGACACGCCCTGTTGGTGGGTATAGACAGCGATATCCCTTGTATTTGTCATTATACCCAAGAAAAACACAGTGGAGAGACCGTGGATCAAACTTTGTAGCTGCGTATTCTCTCAGCATTGGATAACATGAGCATCCAAACGATCTTAAAGCAGAGTAGTCTGGTGCTTTCCCATGTAATAACTCATACGGACTTCTTTTATCTTTCAAGACTGAGGATGGCAGAAGATTGCTTAGGAAACTTGCAGTGTAGAAAGCCTCTACCCAGTACCGTTGAGGTGTTTTCACTACAAGAAAATAGCTCTATTGCAACAGAAAAATTGCAACGTCTATTTTCGTTAATAATTTGCTATGATTATTGCAATATTTTTGCAATAATAAATATTTGTTACAGTTTCGTTACAAATTTATTGCAAAATTTCAACTATAACAGACGTTGCATATTTTCATCACTAAATTGCAATCTTCTGCAACATAAATAAGT